TATGGCGCAGTCCCGGATTGATGTGAGAGGCCAGAAATCGTCAGGGTTTACCTTAACCCTGAATAACCTACCTTTTTAGGGTTCCTTTTTTATGATTTCCTTATATAAGTCCTTAAAATGGTAGGTCCTTCAGGGTTAAGGTAGGGTGCAGAGAGGTGCTAGCATTCCTCAAGCTTTCCTTGTTGTAGAGACACTTTACGCTATTGTGGCCCCAATATGACTTTATTACCTGACTTACTTTACATGAGTGCCTTGATTAGTGCATCAAGTTTCTGAAGGCCCTAAGGTAAAAGCCAGAAAATTGGAATATCATTATCGTAACCCCTTTAAGGAAAATTATAGGGGATCCTACCATTAATCCATATTCCAACTTTCTGGAGTTCCCTTTAAGGGTACCCTACGGCCCAGGCTTTAGGAGGACACGAGGGTCCATGACCCATGTGGCGGCAAAGCACTACATGGACCCTTGGGGCTTAAGACTGTTCCCCACAATATAGTAGAGCTCCATATGGAGAAATTCAGTGATATGTGTAGGTTCCTGATTCAGGCTCTAGATATTTAGATCTTCAAAGTGCCTTTGATAAGGAGTCGAGTGAAATTTGAAAATAATCATATCTGATGTCTTGTGGAGATTCGGCTATTCTGGTGACACATTGGCTGCTTGCCTTGTTTGCTCGTGTTATGTGTTATGCAGACCTGCACCGTGTATGACGAGAAGACGCAGATGCTGCGTGCACAAGCGTCGAAAGGGAGCTCTTGGCGAGTGTACACAGAAATTCTTTATTCTTGGTGAGTGTATATGTCTCCTTGTGGGCAGGCTAGTAGCAGGACCTCGCATCAGACATGCGATTTCGAACACTTGCAACTTTGTGCTCTAGACGCCTTAGAACGGAAACTTCAGCAACACCAGAAAAAGAGCAACCGTGAAACCTCAAAAACTGAGGTTCTTCTTGGTATCTACATCTACACTATAATATACTATAAACTACGCATACGCCTTAATCAAATTTGTTGCATGTTTTAATTTAACAGTTACAGTAAAATATTCCCAAAACCCTTCTTCCAATTGTTAACACCCCTACAGTAGACCATGTCAGACCCTAAATCCGTGCACCTCGAAACCCGAGTTACTAAATCCTGAAACACCTGAAGCCCCCAAACCCTAGAGCCCCGAAATCCTAAAACCCCCAAACCCTAAAGCCCCCCAAGCCCTAAAACCCCTCAACCCTGAAAGCCCGAAACCCTCAAACCTACTTGGAGGATCATGGGACTTAGTAAGTAAAGTTATAAGTACCTTAATTGGGGTTATAAGTATCTATAAGTATGGTTACCTTATTTATAACCCTAGTTACTAAGTCCCATGATCCTTTAAGTACCCCAAAACCTCATCTAAAGGAGCCCTTTCAATGGAACCCTAAAACCCTAAATGCTAAAGCCCGAAACTCTACATCCAAGGGTAAAAGGAGGGACCCTTAATAAGGACCCCCAGGACCCCTAGGTATATACCCTTAGTATAGCTATTATATACCCATTATATAGCCCATAATAGGGTAGGGGTCCCCATGAAGGGTCCCTCCCTTTCCCCGTTGACTAAAAGCACCTACAATAGAAGCCAGAAAGTTGGAACATCATTATCCTCATGCCCTTAAGGTAAAGTATAAGGGATCCTAGCACTAATCCTCCCAAAGCCATGTTCAAACTTTCTGGCTTCTACTATAAACCCTGAACCCTAAACCATAAGCCCTAAATAAACCCTAAACCCTAAACCGTATGTAAAAGCACCTAAAGCCCTCGATCTCCTTTCTTTCGCAGGTATGCTGCAAGCCTTGTCCCGCAGCGACCCAATGAAGTCTCTCAAGGATGGGTTGCAATTTTTGGGGATCCAAAAACCTTCCGCTTGAAGGGTCAGACCCTCTAATTAAGGGGTCATAACCTACTATTCTGTAGCTTAGGGGTAAGTAGAAATATTTTTTTTTGTTATTATAATCCTTAAGAAACAGCAAAAATTGTAATTTTTGCTAGGGGTCTAAGTTCAGAATAGGTAGGGTTTGGGGATACAGGTCGGTTTAGGGTAAGGGAGGTCTTTTGTTTTCATGTGTACAGGGGGGATTAAAGGCCTACCATCGAAAGCCGTATACCGTATACTGCTGATAGGACTTATAGGGCTTAGGAGCTCGGGGCCTCAGGGTTTGGGGCTTGAGGTCTTAGCTTTATTTCACACTTTGTTATACAAGGTGCTGGGAGATGTAAGGTTTTTAGCTTTCGTTCTTTTTTTCCGGGGTTTGAGTTCCGGGTTTAGGGTTTAGGGTTCAGGGAGGGGTTGAGGTGCAATATAAGGGTCTGAAAATTATGGAGTTGAGGTGTGCTGCAAGGGCCTGATTTTTACATATTTGCCGGTTGTATTCAATTAGTCATTACCTGTCAGTTTGTACAGGAGGGTTTGAGGCTACTAAACCCTAAACCCTAAACCCTAAACCGTTGAGGCTACTAGTAAGGCGTAGACACTCAACCGGGCCGCAGGCTGGGAGGTTTTTTCAACGGCGTACTAATATGTCCCAAAGCATCCTCAAAGCCTGCTTTTCCCAGAGGCTCCAGAAAGACTATTATTATGGAATTAGGCCCCAAAGAGGCATCCTTATCATGGTTTCGGGGACCTGATTCCATAATAGTAGGATATATGGAGCCTCTACTACGTTATAAAGTATTTCGACCTCTATAGTATACCAAAGACGAGCCAGCATCGGCCCGCACCACGTACCAGCAGCTCGTTAATTGGTCTGTCTCGCAAAAAACAGGGTGGTCCGCAAAATTAGTTCGGGCTATCAAATTTTCGGCCGCCTGACGTGTCCGTCAAAAACTGTTGATGCGCTGGAGACTTTCCCTAAGGGTCCATGTGCAGACGTAGTATATAGATAATTTGTCTTTACAGCACTTGTATAGGGACTACTTTAAGGCCAAAGTAAACAACGTGTGTAATGTATGGTATATACTGTGCTTTACAGCCGCCCTTACGTGACCCTGAACCCCTCGCACATGGAGCCTTAGGGCATCTAGGGATGCGTTCAAGAAGCGTTCCGGAGTTTGGCTGCGGGTCTAAAGGCAGGGCATTGGTAGGACATGTTCTTTTTAGTTCAAGGTCTGGGTTTTCGGTTTAGGGTGTACTGCCAGTTACATACCCTGTCTTAGCTGTTTTCGCTGCTACAAGTATGGTATAGCATACCCAAAAAACCCTGTTCTATTGTCAGGGCCCTTGTAATACATAGTATTTGGGACCTAGAACTCAGGGACCCACTGCGCTGCACAGCTCTCCAAGCCCTTACGCACTCCATATGATGTCCTACCACGCCCATACAGCTGCAATGTGAATAGGTTGTAAATAACTAAGTCAATAGTTTCATGAATAAGTACGAATAGATATAATATATGTATATATTTATACATACACATATATCATATCTAACCTGTATTGTTGACCTGTACAGTTGTGTTAATAACCTTATAAAGCCTGCTTACACACGTCCTGCGGAGGATTCTGCGAACGCCCGCATCCCGGGGGCGTTTCTGGGGCCTGGAGGATGTTTCGATGGAAGTATAAGGTTTACTGAGGCCCCTAACCCCCAAAAGGCTCCATGTACCTTCATAGTAGATACATAGGCCTTAAAGGGGTCCCTATATAGCTACTTTAAGGCCTAAGTATATACTACATGGGTACATGGAGCCTGAGGGCCCCAAACCTTAAATTGTTATGTAAGGAGGTTTAACAGCCTCAACGGGGGTGTTCTTCAGGGAGGAGGGGGAAACTATGAGGGGTTTGACCGTATGAGGGAGTTAAGCCGGTCCACAAGACTTGAGGGTTTAGCGTTTCAGGGTTTTGTTTATATGTATATACATATCTACATATATACATATGTGTATATATATAATTAAATGGACTACTTGTCTGTATATCTACTTGTTTGTATCGTTCGAAATTTGGTGAATACCGATTTAATACCCACATGCACATACGTATGTATATATATATATATATATATACAAATACATGCGCATACATGCGGTTACAACAAACATACAGCAGCTCGGCGAACCCCAATCTAAGCCGACTGAGCCTTCTTAAACATTGTAGCCGTCGAGATCAACTTCTTCCCCGAAGTCTTAACCTGATCGCTCGACCTCAGACGGTAGGGTTGAGGGTTTATCTGTTCGGGCGGTGGCCTGGGCCGTAAACCCAAACTACCAAAATCTTGCCCTCGGCACCAAACTCCACGAAATAGTAGGTTGCTGGGGCCCGATTCGTGTTCGTGTTTAATTCCGTCATTGTTGGGCATAGAACGTATGTTTATGAACAATGTTGGGAACTGTTGGAATTGACACCTAGGTTATTTCTCTGTGGTTCTACACGTAAACCCCACGCCCCTACAGAAACTGATACGAGCCATTTAACATCGTGGTTCAAGCCTACAGAAGCAAGTCCTAAACTTTCAAACAGCTACAACTGGATACAACCCCCAAAAAAGCAAAAAACGCCTCTTGAACCGACCAAACCCTTGAACGAACCCCTAAAGCTTGGATACTGCCCCTCCTGAGTTTAACTAAGAATACTGGTAATCTAGATATACAGGGCCCTTAATAGCAGCCCTAGTATGGTGTGCACTGCTACCGTATGCGGGCAGTACCTAACCTAAAACCCCAAACCCTAAACTCCCTAAGACCCTCAAACCCCAAAACTCTAAACCCTGAAGCCCTGAACCCGACACCCGCCGAGGTGGCAATCCTGACCAGGTTGGAGGAGTTTGCGGCCTGCGAGAAAGACATCGTCGCAGGGAGCCTCAGTGGGTTTAATATGCCTTGAGGCTCCATGTACCTACCCAGAGGCCCCAAAGTAGTTCCTTTTTGGGATTACCCTATAGAATTCTATATATGAAGCCCAAAAAGGAACTACTTTGGGGCCTTGGGGTATAGAGCATACAATTAGGCCTTTAAAGGGGTTCCTATATATAGGTATGTGAATTATCGGTATTCGCGACACAGAACCTCCAAGCAAACGTTGGTATGTTTTCGGACCCCTGCTTTGGTTCGGACAGGACTTACCCAGAGGGTCCAAGTACCCAAATGGCAGGGTTTTAGGGCCCAAAATCCATACTGTGAATGGTTTTTGGACCGTGAAACCCTACTGTTTGGGTACTTGGACCCTTAGGGTTAGGGTTAGCTGTCAACAGGTGAGGTTTGCACAAGGGTTTTGGGGGCGTCGGAGGGCTGTGACAAGTGTTTTCACGTGGGTTTTAGAAAAGAACTCAGAGGAGTACAGAGCGAAGCCCTGCCTGTATCCCCAAACCCTACAAAATAGTAGGTTATGACCCCTTAATTAGAGGGTCTGACCCTTAAAACGGTAGGTCTTTGGATCCACAGGTAAAACCTAAACCGAGCGTTGAGCGGGCCTTGTACCACTACAGCCATGTGCAGATCCTCCTGACAGAGCCCGAACCTCTTAGACAGCTGTTCTTTATTGAGGACTGGGGTGTGGGTCTATGTGTTGTCGGGGGGGGGGCTAGGGCATCGTACTCTAGGAGTTTGGTGTTAGTGGTTTGATGCTTTCGGACCCTAAGCCCTGAACCAATGTAGGGCTTCAGAATTTCCAGGACGCGCGCGTTGTACCCTGAAAAAATCGCGAATGGCCCCTCAAAGTAGGCGGTTAACATCTAGTGGAGGGCGGGCTTTAGAATCTGAGGGTGGTTCAGAGTACCTATAGGCTCATACTCTACCCGTGTTTAGGGTACCTAGTTCTTTAGTTAGGATCTGTTACATAGAAAAGGGCTCGGGCATGAGCCTCTGGTTGCTGTCTTCGGGTTTAGAGTAGTACAGAACACCATATAGTAGCCTGATAGGTCCCTTATAGGAACCCCTAAAGGAACCCTAAACCCCTATAGAGCCCTTTACATCAAGGGATTCAGAGTAGGGTCAGCCTAAGACATAGCCTGCTGCCGGGTTTCGGTGTTTTGTTTAGGTGTGCGAGCATGCGTATAGAGGCATCTGAACGAATACATACGTATACTATGCACTGTTCACATGCTTATGTATATACGTATAAGATCGTGTCAAAGTTTGTATATAAACATATATGCATGTATGTGTGCATCCAGGCATGCATGCATGTATGCGTGTATGCATGTGTGTATGCATGTCTGTCTGTTTGTTTGTCTGTATGTATGTATGTACGTAAATATGCATGCGTGTGTATGTATACACGTATGTATGGATGCATGCATGGATGTACATATATGTGTATGTAATGTATGCATGTGTCTGTATGTACATTTGCATGTACGTATTTACGTATGTATGTATGTATGTACGTATGCATATATATATATATATATATATATCTGTCTGTCTGTCTGTCTGTCTGTATGTATGTATGTATGGTCATATGTATTTATTTTAATTTGCTGCATGCACCTTTATAGTTGGTTGTGTTGCGGTTTCCTTGTACAGGTTTCCGTTTTCTCGGGTTTTGCAACGGGTGTTTGGCAGTCATCCGATTTTAGCGGTTGTTTTTTTGAAGGGCTTGGTGGGGTCGTTAGTCGTTAGTGCCACCTGCCAGTTTATTCGTTGAAGAAATATTGGGGGGACACTGATGTAGGAGTCGAATACTTGTGCGATATTGCCCCCAAGGCCTTGTTTCAACCACAAGGCCGCCGACTACAACCCCTAGAACCTATCAGGCTCGTCAGAAACCCAACTAAAGGCACAGATCCTGAGACCATGTAGGTAGTACTGGGGCTTCACCAGCTACTGTGATATGAAAATCTCCCAGATCCCCAATTTGCATGCCCTGTGAAACCATAGGCTAGTAGTCGAGTACCTAACCTGTAACTTTTTTGGGGTACTATAATGCCCATGCCCATGTCATCCCAGTATACTCCCAAAGGTTAGCCTGTAGTTTTATCAGGGTGGTGGACAAGTAGGATGGATAAAGAAGAAGCAGGTTTAATGCCGCAACCATAAACCGTTGAGGGAATCCGTATAACCTCCAGGATTTTGCTTTTCCCTACACCCAAAAACCCTAAACCCCTAAACCCCCAAACCCCCAAAACCCTAAACCCTAAAACCCTAAACCCCCAAACCCCCAAAAGCCTGAACCCTGAACCCCAAACCCCCAAACCCCCAAAACCCTAGACCAAGGTCCGAGAGCGTCATGTGGATACTCCCGAGACTTGGATGTTTCCATAGACTTGGTCCTTATTGGCTGTAAACTCAACTTTTCAACTTTTGGGGTTCTTATAAGGTAGTCGATTCTGAAAGTTTCAACTTGTATTTCCTTGGGTTTTGGGCCGGTCTGGAACCTGCTGCTGGGGGTTTTCGGGTTTGGGGCTTCAGGGTTTTTGGGTTTAGGGTTTTTGGGTGTGGTTGGGGCTCTTTGGGTTTAGGAATTTAGGTCTCTATTGTTAGGGGGTTTCAGTGTTTAGTTTCAGTCAGGATCCCCCTAACCCTATACTTACTAAGTAAGGGGCAGATGATCGCAAAATGTAGAGGCCTGAAGCAGTAGTAATACAGTACGAGTCATGGCGGTTCGTTATAAACAATAAGTTTATCGAACAGTGTTAAGCCGCAAACATCCCTGTTCTATTCAGCCAGGCCCTTGTATTAAGTTTAGGTTCCTGCTGCCGCAAACCCTTAACTGCCTAACCCTTGTGCCCTACACCCGGGTACCTTAAACCCTTAAATCCTAAGTCCTTAAATTCCGACTTTCTGCGACAAGCGGTCTAGAGAGGCGGTCGTCGTCGAGGACACAGTGATCTGGCTGGGGGCCGGTGCATCGAAGGATTGCTATGGGTTCGAAAGGCACAGCGCGGTCTTGAAGCTCTACCGGAAGGAGCGTGCCTTCACGGAGCAAGAACTGTTCGAGCCGGATGGGACTTAGAAGACTCAATAGATGGGGCTATAAACAAGGTAACCATACAGTATGGTTACCTTGTATTAACTCTAGCTACTAAGTTACTAAGTCCCATTATCCTTTAAGTATACTGTACATGCTTAAGCCTTAAAGGCACCCACATAGGAACCCCCTTACTTGGAGGGTCGGGGGACTTAGTAAGTAGGTGAGAAGTAGACTTATAAGTACCCTAACAGGGATCCTAATTGGGGTTATGATACCTATACGTCTATAAAAATAAATACTTACTAAGTCCCCCGACCCTCCAAGTAGAGCCTGAGTATAGAGTAGATTGGTACATGCAGCTTGACGGTCAGGTAGATGTGCAGTGTTTAGGGTTGAGGGTTTAGGGTTTAGGGCTAGCAGCGTACAATGTTCCATGACACTGCATTTTCTATCGCCTGGTATGGTTGGCAGCAGTTCACCCCAAAAGACACTAAACCTCACACCTTAAGTTGAAAGCTGTGCCGCATTGGGGATGGAATTGCCCATGCCAGTTGGCAACTGAATGTGTGGAATCGGTATGGTGGTTTCGGGTCTGGGTTCGAAGAGTGAAACTAGGACCTGGAGTAGGCCCTTATTCCCTTTTTTTAGGGTTCAGGTCCCCTTATAAGCCCCTTTAAATCAAAAAGGGCACCCTTTTTGTGCCTAGGTTACTCTTGGGTCTAGGAAATCAGAAGCAAATGGCGGTTGAGCATTCGTTGTTCAAGGCTTGTGGTGCTCATGGGGTTTAGCATCCTGGAAGGGCTCTGCGCTTGGAGCATGCTGCCACGGTCTGGGAGTTTCCAAAAATAGGGGATCCTAATATGGCACCCCAAATAGTAGGCGCCTTATTACACGGGCCCTAGCATAAGGCCCCCCTAATTTTCGGAAACTCCCGTCTCAATGTCGTGGGACAGCGCTGCTGAGCATGAGAAGCCAGGTACGGCGACAGACGGGGATGCCCGATTCGAGCAAACCATACAGAGTTGGTCAAAGCTGGCCGCATCTGCATCCCCACAAAGTGGGTGCTTGCAGAGAAAACTTAGTAGCTGAGTTCTGCTGCGTATCAGTGGGTTTTTGTAAGCCTCCAATCGCTGCTCTTCCATGCTATGCGGTTGACAAAGGTTGCGGTTTACCTCCTAGAACTGCACACATACAACCTCATGCAAAATCCTACAATAGCCGTACGGCACAGCTATGCCCTGCGACGATCGCATCCGAAAGTTTGAGCCATCCCTAAGAATGGTCGCAAGATTGAGATTGCGCAGGCACCTGTGTGGCAACCCTGAAAAAGAAACCTTCTGGCAGGGCTTGCTGGGTTTAGGAAGCTTGGACGTTGAAGCGGCGTTAGCACAATCGCCCCATTCGCAGTATGGTAACAACAGCAGGTCTCCATGCGGCCGACGAACCTGGACACAACGGATCCGAAAGCCAATCCCACAACCCTATGGGGTTTAAAAATCCTACCATAATTAACTGAAGCGCTGAACCTTTTCTGGGCGAAGGTATTCATCCCCTAAGTGAAAACGAGCATCTAAAAGGCACTCCCGACTATGTGCCGAGATGGAAGACCAGGCTCGTTAGGCGGTCACATCATCCACGCTCGATTCTCATATGGGAGTTTCCGAAAATTCGGGGCGCCTTATTTTGGGGTCCTTATAATAAGGATCCTACTGTGTAGCTGACTATATTATGCAAGGATATTTTCGGAAACACCCATATCGGGGAGGGACGTGGACTTATCAGTACGCTTTCTCCACGGGCACGGACAGGGATGCTGTACTGCAAAAGCGGGAATGCCTGCTGCGCCACTTGAACCAGGCCCTGAGAAGCCTCCCCAGCTTGATGGAAGCCTTATAGAGCCGTTACAAACCTGACAACAAATCCTATACAGCCCCATGGCCCGCAGAATCAAACTTGCAAACCCATGGGAAGCCTATGAGAACCGCCAATGCATAATTATAGAAGCCCGAAGTTCTGATTATAGCACCCTCAAGTAATACATGGGTGGTTGTCGAAATTAGGGTCCTTGTTTGGGTCATTTGGGTCCCTAATATAGTACGGCACCTAATATTTAGGGTACCCAAAAAGGGACCGTAATTTTGACAACTACGCACATAAACCCTAAACCTGATTCCCTGAACCCTGAACCCTATACATAAACCCTGATTTCCGAACCCTCGAGAAGCCTATACTGAAGCCTATAGTGAAGCCGGAAATTATAGAACCCCCAAGTTCTCATTTCATAGCAGGCCAAAAGGGGCTTTAGCTTATGGGGTTCAGTGAGGATTGGGGTTCCCATAAATAGGGTTCATATTAAGGAATCTCTACCCCAAGAATCTTGAACCCCCCTTCTTTTGGCCTCCCATCATCAGTCTAAAGCTCTCAAGTCCCTGAGAACACTGAGAAGCTCTCTCAGGAAATGGTGCAGCTGGGGCTCCAGCGCTGGTCCGTGCAGCAAGGCTCAAAGCCTACGGGTGCCGATAGGGGAGTTTCCGAAAATTAGGGGGTACCCTACCGTTGATGATATAAATCTTGCATTACCTTAAGGATCCCAAACTAATTATGGGAATTATGGTATATTCCTTCTTATGGGTAATGCAGGATTTCTATCATCAACCGTAGGGCTCCTTTAAAGGGTTGCTATACGGGTACTATAGGGTTTCGTTTAAAGCGCTCAGGGTGTAGGGTTTCCGAAAACTAGGGGTACCTTAGCTTGAGGTCCTTATTCGGTTTAGGGTTTAGGGTTAGTGCTTATAACAAGGATCCTACTATTTAGGGTCCCCAATGTTCAGAACCCCCCCCACCCCCAAACATGGCTTTCCAAAAGTTGAGTTTAGGGTTAAAGGTAGTGTGGCTATATCTGGATCTATATCTGTATTTATATCTATATATTTAACCTCTCTCTCTCTCTCTATATATATATATATATATTCATGCATGTATATACCGATATCTGCATGTTTGTCTGTATCTTCATCTAGATCTGCATCTGCATCTCTGCCTCTACCTCTGCCTGGACCTGCATCCTTCTATCTATGCAGACATATGTATATATACACATACACACACACACACGCAAACTTATCTTACTTCATTATTGGTGACGACGCCCGGTGTGCGTCCTTTGCGTCCTCTAAGATTTCTGGGCGGGGGCTGATTTCGGGACCCGAACCTTCTTGCCACAGACCTCCAGAACTCCATGTGGGAAGGGTCCCCTATTTTCGGAAACACCCATGTTGTCCCGACCCTAACCCTGAGGCTCTGAGGACTCACATTTTAAGACTTTTGGCCCCAAAGACCATACTATACAAAGACCGTACTATATTCATATGAGGCTATTGGTTTATTTTGTGCTTCTGGCTGTGGTGGTAACGGCACTTCCGTGGAGGATCAGTTGCAAGCCTTTCTGCTTGCCTGACCCCGGTCGGGTGCAAGCAGACCCAAACGAGCAAGCCGATTCTAGAAGCCTGAATAAATGCCAATATTTGTCCTCAGCGCTCCTTATTCGGATGATATTAAAACAGATCTCAAAAACCTTTTCCAATTTTCAAGGTCCCTTACATTGAAGCCAACAGCGTCGCCCTTCATCCTACCACTCCAAAGTTCTACCCCAAACCATGAAATCCTAAACCCGTGACCTCGAAAGGAGTGGATGAGCCCTACAAACAAAGCTTCTGCTTGTCAAAAGCCCGGTCAAAAAAGCCCTTCCACCCCTCCCCCCGGATAGAAACTCTCAAACGCACTGACAGAATACCTTTAAGCAAATCCCTCGAACCCCCCACCCGGATAGAAACTCTCAAAATGGCTTTAAAGACTACCTTTAAACAAATCCATGCTTCTTAAACCCCCTTTCAAACAATACCTTTCAAATCAAATGGGCGGTTGTCAAAATTAGGGGTCCTCAATATAATACGGCACCTATTATTTAGGGTACCAAAAAGGGACCCTAATTTTGACGACCACCAAAATCCGTGCTCCTGAAGCCAGACAGGCTTCTGCTTGTCCAACATCGCGGAGACTTGGTTAACTGACTTAGTAGCTGAGTGGATACACTTTACACTTTTTGGGATAATACTGCTGATGGACAAAATCCTGCATGACCCTAAGGACTCTAAACTATGGGAACTCTGGTATATTCCTTATAATGAGTAGTGCAGGATTTTGCCCATCAACAGTATTACCCACTATAAAGCTGAAAGTGTACACTTTTGGGGACTTATGAACTCAGAAACTAAGCTTACAGGTTCATGGGACTCAGTCACTGGGGCTTAGTGGTGCCTTTAAAGGTACAGTTCTACTCCTCAGGGTTCAGGTTTTCGGGTGAACTTATAGGTTCATGGGACTTAGTATATAGGGTTTTGGAGTTCCTTTTAAGGGTACTTCAGGGTTCTATAATAGGGTTCCCTATGAGGGTTTAGGGTGTAGGGTCTATATACTTGAAGGTTCATGGGACTTAGTTACTATACGGTTATCAATGTGGTAACAGGTAACTATTCTAGTATGAGTGGGTATAACCCCAGCTCAGGCACTTAAAACTTATAGCCTCTACTTACTAAGTCGAACATGATCCTTTCGTTTTTTCTGCTTCGGGTTTAGGGGTTTGATGCTCGAGAATGACGTTGTGTGGTTTGGGGTAGGTATTTCTTTCCTAGCTATCAATTCATGTAAGACCGTTTTGGTTTTGGGTTTGTGGGCTTAGGGTTTAGTTCGAGCCTCAGACCCGATAATTGTAAGAAGAGCCTGGACAAAAAAGCAAGATATCCCCTACTGTTGATGATATAAATCCTGCATTACCTCCAGCACCCTAGACTATGGGAATTATGGTATATTCTTTATTATGGGCAATGCAGGATGTATGTCCCTAAACCCTAAACCTCAAAACCCTATAGATCCCTTAAAGGTACCCTTACAGATCCCTTTAAAGGAACCCCAGGATTTATGTCATCAACCCTAGCATGGACTGAGGAGAGGAGAGAGTTGGCCCGAGCACTTTGCGTGGCGCGGCGCCGGCGCCCTCAGAGCAAAGGGGTTGGTACTTAAAGGATCATGGGACTCAGCAGCTAGCGTTATAAACCACGTAACCACGCAGAGAATGTTTAGAAGCTCAAAACGGTCATAGCCTCACTTGCTAATTCTTCGGGTTTGAGGTTTTTCGAGGTCGGAGAGGAGCTGTTCAGGATCTTATCAGGGTTTTCTTGGGAATTTAGAGATTTGCGTTCAGCAGTGGGTTTATTCGGAGGTTATGGGTTGTTAGGGTCGTTGGTTTTGGGCCTTCAGATGGGATCCGGGGCTAAAGTTTGTTCTTATGGCTGAGAAGACTTTAAGAGATGCTTCTGGTGGATCAGCAAGACAAGCTTTACCAGAAGCTCCAGTCGCTGATGGAACAGCCGTCAATCCACGTGGAGTGGCAAAGTTCGAAACTTTTAGGTCACTTGCTCCGTGGTCAAAGTGAGAAGGCCTGCAACCTTGTGGGTACTTTGCTTCCTGCGGTTCTAGAGGAAACAAGAGACCGCTCCGGCCTCACGCCGCTTCAACATGCGGCTCGCTTATGTGCCCCGGACCTGATCTGGAAGATCCTCGCCAAGTGTCCGGAGAATGCCAACGAGGTCACCTGTGCCGTATTATAATAGGAACCCAAAAAGGAACATAATTTTGTCAACCACCCGTATGAATAGAAGGCTGAAGATATCCGTGTGTTAGTTTTAGTCGTTCCCTCAAGGGTGTTCTGCAAGCTTCTACAAGCCTTCCCTGTAGCCTTGTTGCTTAATGGTGCTTTATCGGGCTGGCTATAGGGTGTTACAGGGTCAATAATGTAGGAACCTGATTAAGAAACCCTGGGCCAGTATTAGGGTTCCTTTTTTGAATCCTATTATTTTGGGGTTATAGGGCCAGGGTTTCTTAATCAGGTTCCTACATTAAACCCTGCGACCCCAGTTGCCCAATGCTCGCAGGCCTGACGCAACCTGCCCCACAAGAGGTTTAGGGGTTTAGGGATTAGTTTATGGGTTAGATTTTAGAGGTTTAGGGTTCAGGGCTTGGGGTTCAGGGTTTAGGGCTGTTCAACGTGCTTTTATGGCGCCCACAAAACCCTAAGGTGGCAGTTCTGTTCCTCTTTTGGACCCCCTTCCTACCCTAGCTGTACGAATATAACGAATACTGGAATAGTTGCGTACGTTGGGGTCCAACCCTTGTCCCTCAAAGTTTGACAGTAGTACATATGCTGGGCTGTCTGGAGAGTTACATACTGTCAGGATCAGGGTGCATGCCATAAGAGTACATGCAGCAGCTGTGATGCTCATACTGTGTTTCGCCAACCCGTGCCACACCGTAGAACCTGTTCCGAAGTGTACATCCATTAACCCCAAACCGCGGACCCCAAACCCATGCAAAACCCGGACTCATAAAAGATCCTAACCCCGGAGCCCGCAGTAAACATCCTGTAAGAAAAGTGTTTCACTCCTCACCAACCCTCAACGATTAAACAATGAACGCCGTTAGGGCTGTGGATTTGGCGTTTAATGTAGGAACCTGATTAACAAACCCTGGCCCTATAACCCCCCCAATGTCTTCGGATTCATATAAGGAACCCCAATGAAGACCCAAGGCTTCTTATCAGGTTCCTACATTAGGGGCGAGTACCAGTCATATCCGTCAACTTCCCTCCTCGAGACCTCTACGACTCTACCAGGAAGCAACACGCGACGTGGTCGTCGCCGCCAGGATCCTAGTCCTAGTGCTTTGGGGCCTCTTCTTGGTTTAGGGCTTAGGGTCTGTAGGTGTCGTTGGGTGTGTGGGTGGGTTCAGTCGCCCCCACAGTGAGGCGCACCTCGGTGCTGCTTCATTCGCTGCGCGGGGCACCACCTCTTCGGTGGGAAGGGTGAAGTAGTATGCCTTAAACCATGTAGGTTGCAAGGTGCAACTGCAACCTTCGATTGAGGAGCATCGGTTCCCTGCCAACCGGAAACTTTCAAGCTGTGAATTAGGCTGTATGGATACGCTTTTGGGGCGTACATCAGCCTAGAAGCACCCGGTTTTCTCTGCGAATGCTACACAGTTGATAGGGAGTCTACAGACATGTAAGCTATTATCGGTTGATGATGTTTGATACCACCAGCCGTAGTCCTTCAAGTAGAATATTCCTCAAGTTTAGATTTGTTGGCCCCCAAAGCCTAAACCCCAACTGTCAAGAGTTATTGGGTGTTTTTGCGGTACGTATTCAAAGCTTCACGAGGACATCGTGACGATCAGCACTTCGCGACTGGTTTTCAGCAAAGCTGGAGTGTCCGTTTACAAGGATGGTGTCTCCAACGCTCTGAACGGAGATGTCAAGGCTCTCGGATTCGCTCCGTCAGACCCCTCCACTTGGAAGCCCCTCACTGAGTCCTTTGGCGAGCTCTGTTCCACTTCGGCGTAATATAGAGGCCTTGATAATTAGAATAGGGTTTGGGGGAATATGATATTATAAGTATAATAAGGAGCCTCTTCAAAACCCTATTCTAATTAAGGCGCCTACATTACACTGCCGTAACCGGCACCGTGTTCCATACGTTTCAACGCGGAACCCAGGTGGTCCGGAACGTCGCTATACAGGGAACTCCAGAAAGTTGGAATATGGTTTCATGGTAGGATACCCTGTAATTTACCATAAAGGGTTTAAGATAATCACATTCCAACTTTCTGGCTTTTACCTTACAGGGTCGAGGATGGCAAAATGGCCGTAACTGGTATGCACACCTGGAGGATCAGGGGACTTAGTAAGTAAGGTTATAAGTACCCTAATTGGGGCTAGAAGTACTTATAAGTATAGTTACTTTATTAACTTATAACCCGCATTACTAACTCCCATGATCCTTTAAGCATCGCTGTAGATCTCAACATGGCGGTCAGCTCAGCTTTTGTGTTGCGGCAGCTTTCCACTGACTTGGGCTACGAGCCCATTGTCAACTGCCAGCCCTGGAGTCGGGGCCTATCTGGGAGGTTCATGGGACTTAGTAACTAGGGTCATAATTAAGGTAACTACGCTTATATGTACTTAAAATCACAATGAGGGTACTTATAACTGTACTTACTAAGTCCCATGAACCTCCAGGATGCTTAGGGTTTACGCTTTAGGGCTGGTTGGGCAAAGGGTTCCTTTCAATGTTCCAGAAGGGATGTATGAGAGCTCCCGGGTTTTAGGATAAACCAGGGTTCAAGTTTCAGTAGGCCATGTGTTTGTTTTCGTGAAGTTAATAAGTTTGCACCCGAGATCCCCAGCCCTAGCACCCGAAAGACCAAAAAGCAATAGGCTCTCGATCCCAAACCTAAAGGCTACTGAACCCCAGGGCAGCGTAGCACCCCTATTGCGCATGGAAACCGCAGGCTTTGAGCATCTCTCTCGATACTTTAACGCAGGCCTGCGTGGCTTAACCAGACAGAGCTGGAAGGTTATGCCCTACCTTCCCTGATTCACCCACCATACTCAGCCTATGTGTAGGGTTCCTTCAAGATCGGCGTTTTCAGGAGAATAGTATGTGTAGGTTCAACAAGTAATAATATCCGCCAAGTTTGTAGTATGCACGCTGCTGTTCTACAATAAGGTAATTTCAATATGTTAACGTACGCCCTGAATGTGCGATGCATCCTGCTAGAGAGGCCTTGCAGCTTGTAAGGCTTAAACCCTACACCCTGCATCCCTTTACACCAAACTCCTGAAGTCTTGAAGTTCTGAAACCCCAAGCCCCGAAGCCATGGACTCTAAACAGCAGCCGAGGCCTGAACAATGCGACAGCTCGGAGGAAAGCCATGGAAGACATGATGACCTCGAAGATGTCTCACATGACCCAGATGTCGCACGCGCAATCGAATGCCCAGGCCTGCCCTATGTTTTTGTTGTTTGTTTTTGTTGTGTTTTTCTCTCGCTCTCTGTCTCACCATATGTGTATATATATATATATATGTACATATGTGGGTTCTATCACGGTAGCGCAGAGGTTCTATAAGGGTAACCCACGGGTTCGAAAGGGGTAGTAGCTGGTGGTTTTGGGATTCAGTGTATATGGGTCAAGTACCTATGGAGGAAAAGTATCCTGGGTTCCTATACGCGTACTTTCGGTTCAAGGGATGTAACAACTACTACACGAGCACATGGGTTTTAGGGGTATAGTGGTTTACAGTTGAGGTATGTTGAGATTGTAAATCTCGCCCCAAAATTTCATCAGACTACAGAAACTAAGTGAGTGCTCCAGATACACTTTTCATGTTGGGGCCTTTTTAGCAATCCTGAAACACCTAACTCCAAACCCCAACATACGATCAATAAAAACTATACTTGTGGTATCTAGTAGACTACGGTGTCGTTAAACCTCTTGCTTCACCCTAAACCACCATAACCGGCTTTTCTGTAGACTGTTATAATATGACATATATAGAGACCCTGCCAAAAAGTAGGGCTTGGTAGTTTACCCAACGGTCTATGGCTGGCAGGTTTGACGACTTATTCCGAGACAGATAGATGGATGGATGCATGTATGGGAAGATAGACAGTGCGTATTTAGAACCTAAGATGTCTGTTCAGGAGCCTCTCTACATGGAATCAAGCATATACTACGCAGGCACATCGATCCCATGTGGGTGGGCAGTTTAGGGCTCATGGGTCTACATGCGTAGTTTTCTTATCCCCTTGTAAAGCCTACATAGTTTTAGTAAGACACCGCCCCCCCCCCCAACCACACGTTTGCTAAGCTCAACAGCATTTTGTATGCATGCCTGCATCTGTATGATGTCTCTATGTACGTGTGTACGTACGTATAGAATCTATAGTATGTATAGGAGTTTAAAGCTTCGTGCAACGCTGACCAAGCAAAATCAAGCTAAGCCAAGCCGGTTTCGCATCAGAACTCGTACACCCTTGTCGAAAGGATCAGCTTGTCTAACAGAAACTGCTGTAAGTCGAATCATAAAGGATCGGCAGACGACTAGTGCCTAGAGAAAATTATCATATCCAGACACATACCTACATCTATGTGTATGTGTATGTGTATGTGTATGTGTATGTATGTATGTATGCATGTATGTGTATGTATATATATATATATATATATATACAACTCGGTATATGTATATACGCATATGTATATATATATATATATATATATGTATGTATGTATGTATGTATGTATGTATGTAAATACAGAATGTGTTTAGTGTATGTGTGCAAATACACATGTATATATACATACATACAAATACATAGATAGAAATATAAAGACGCACATCTGAGTAATGTCATATCCCCCCCTGCATTTCGTGATCTCGCACACAAAAACACTCACCACTTCACCATTTCACCATTCATGTCCCCCACATGGTCAGGCCAGTTCACCATTTCACCATTCATGTCCCCCACAAGGTCTGGACGGTTCAGCATTTCACGATTTCACCATTCAGGCCGGTTCACCATTTCACCGTTCATTTCCCCCATATGGTCAGGCCAGTCCACGATTTTACCATTTCACCATTCATTCTCCCCAGATGGTCAGACCTCATTGGTGAAATGGTGAAATGGTTTAGGAATTCAGGCCAAACTGGTTCGCATTTTATATTGGCTTCGACGTGGACACAAAGACATGTTTGTTCACTGTTGTTTATATGCCTTGGTCCAGCTTCAAGGATATCAAGGGTTCAGAAACTTTGCCTTTTATAAGTCTGGTCTGAGGTCACAAACTTGTCGAAGTTCAGGCTTTTAGCAAAAACGTAGGTGGGCAATACTACGCAGCCCACATATACACATATATGTGTGTGTTTAGATACACATACACATATTCTGTGTTTACTTTGAGCGCGCTGGCCGGCTTTTGGTGTTTTCGCGGAGTGAGACACCATTGATTCTGAGCCGCCGCTCCCTGAAGCGATAGCGGTGCATATCAACGTATATACATACGTGTATATCTTTACACGCATACAGGTATATGCATAGATAGACCGATAGACCGTTAGATAGATAGGTAGGTAGATAGCTACGTGCATGCATACATACAGACATTGAAGGTGATACATGTGTGCATGAATACATACTACACATATGTTTTATGGATCTCAAATGTGTATCAAGGAGTAGCATATTCGAAGACCGGGCAATGGCTTGTCATGTAAAGTAGGGCCTCCCGTCGCATCCCCAAGACTCTTAAGCTCTTAATCTTAAGCCTTAAAACCTTAAAAACAACAAGATCCTTCTAAGGAGCACCGGAAGCTGCAACCACCCACCCTCAACCCCAGATGCAACCCTAAATCAACCCCAAAAACAAATCTCGAAAGGACGAGGACGGCAATCCGAGGGCCAAGGACAAAGAGGTGCTACGAGGTACGGTCGGCCATGGTTTTTCGAGGTTCGGGAGGTTTATAATGGTTTAGAACGGGTTCAGAGGTTTGCAGTGTTTGGGCTGTCTGGTTCGCTCTGAGGTTTGCAGGGACAGTGGTTTGAGGCTTGGGAGGTTGGTAGTACGGTTTGGTGCGAGTTTGGAGGTTGACAGGCTTCAGGGTTTGGGGATGTCAGGTTTGTAGTATTCATGGTTTGAGTTGCCTACGGCTCAGGGGGGTTCAGAGTTTAAAGCTAGGGTTTTAGTGTTTGCAGGCCGTTAACTTCGAAACATCGGTTCAGAGGAGGGCTCAGGGAAGCAAGGCTCAGTGCATCAGTAATCTAACACATCGTTTTTGCCAGTTCTTCTTGCAAGCTTGGCATGTTGCCAACAAGGAGCGGCGAGCGCTCTAGCTTTGACGACCAGGTTGGTAACCTGTGACTTTCCATCCCGCGCAGCCAGTGTTTGCGTCAGCCGTGGGAATCTTTGAAGTGGCTTCGCCACGGCCCCTCGTTGCCTTGCGAGTTGGAGCTCCTCAGAAGGTGGGCTGGCATGCCCCGAGAACCATCAAGTTCGTGACGGAAGAGCCATCCATGAAACCACCAGATCACCCCCTCGCTCGGGAGGTTGGAACAGAAGCTGCCGTAAAGTTACTATGAGGTCTACAGTCTTTGAATCGTACCTGTTTTGAGGCCAGGAACCCTGACCCCGAAACCCTCAAGCCTACCTAGAGGCTCATACCCTACTCGTTTTTTAGGATAATTGCCTAGCTTTATGGTTAGGATCTGGTGTATAGAAAAGTAGGTAACCTAAAAAGGGGTATGGTACGAGCCTACAGGTAAAGCCGAAACACTAAACCGCAGAGCTCAGATCTGACGACGGAGCGCGGAGTCCTACTGGAGATCAAGAGGGAGATGACCAAGCTCAAGCGCAAGCGACGTGTCGGGAGCCTCAGTTACGGGTTTGGGGCTTGGGGTGTTTGTGTTGTGCTGCTACTGTCTTTGTCTGTGTGTGTGTGTGTGCATGTGTAACCTGGGGTAGGGTTAGGGTGCAGTTGCTTTCGCTTGTTGTGAGTTGCTTCTTCCAGGCGCGGCATGGTTTAGGACATACGTACCTTACATAACCGAGCGTAACCTCATGCACTTATACTTAAGGGTCTACGGAGTCTACGGTTCATAAAGCAGCCCGAAAGCTTGAGTTGTAGGGTGCAGACGAATTCGATAGATGCCTGATAGACTCTCCGCAATGCCCTATCCCCCCGAAAGACGCTAAACCCTAAAGACACAACCCAAGACCGTTAATATAAGGGATCGGCATACTTCCTTATCGTCCTTAGTCCTATCAGCTAACAGCATGATTCTCAGTCTGTTTTCAAACTCCTTTTATTAAGGCACCTATACTGAATCCTTACAGCATGCCGCATAGTGACTCCTGGCGGAGATCTTCAAGCAACCCTAGTCTAGTTATATACGGAAGCCCCCTTAATATGTAAAGTCCAAGAGGTCTTCTAGGCCCGAAGCCCTTAACCTAAAACCGCAAGTTCTGTAATCTTTCTGTATATACACATACATGCCCACACATGCATATATCGTGTAAACATACATATATACCTATATATATATATATATAGATATATACACATACACACTTGTAATCATATGTACATATGTATACACACAGACATCTACATCCCCATTAATTGTATATATATATATATATATATATATAAGTATATGTATATATATATATATATGTATAAGAAAAGCACACACACACCCTGAACACCAAACCCACAAACCTTACAAACCTTATAGTACAAAGTTCCCGAGAGGTCTTAGAGGACCAGTGGGTGGACCAGCCGCGGATTTTGCTCACCCGCCTGGAGAACCAGAGTCTGGTCACCCAGTGCTTGGAGGTTTGGGGTTTAGAGTTTCAGCGGTTATCTTTAGCAGGGATCCTATAGGGGATCTATATTGTTTAGGGTCTAGGATCTTAAAAAGGGGTTTAGGGTTTAGGGGATTACTTCAGGGGATTACTTTCATTTCATAGGAGGCCAAAAGGGGTTTTAGCCTATGGGGATTTAGTGGCGATTAGGGTTTCCATAATAGGGTTCACATTCAGGAATCCCTACCCCAAGAATCTTAAACCCCACTTTTGGCCTCCCATCAGCTTTTGCAATGCTCAGAAGAGGGTTTAGGGATTTGGGGTTTAGGGTACAGGGCTCGGGGCTCTCTAATAACATTCGGCTCTTCAACCAGGCTAAAGGTTTCTCATGGCAGAATTCAGGAACCTAATAAGGGCTTATAACTTTTCCATGAGGGTTTTGATGGTATTCTATGAAGGTGACTGAGGTGGGCATTTCGGGCTGCAGGCACGGCGTTTAGGATTCAGGATACCACGTGGCGCATGAGAACTATGGGAGTTTCCGAAAATTAGGGGTACCTTATTTGGGGGTCCTTATCATACGGATCCTACTATTGCGGGTTCTATATTAGGGTCCCCTGTTGTCGGAAACTCCCATATGTGTCAACCTTCAGACGTATCTACACCCGGAGATGTTCTGGGAGAAGCGTGCTGGGATCGAACAGTGTCGTTCCAGCGACGCACTGTGGATCTATATTATTGGCGTTCTTCTGGCTGGCTCTGTAGACTTTAGCTTTTTGGGTTTCTATACGAACTGTAATAAGGAGGCTAAAAGTTTGACTTTTAGGAGGGGTTCAGAAGGCAGCCAAGTTGTTTCAATTCAAGCTATAGGGGCTTTAGTAATTGGAAGAGTTGGCTGTAAAGGGTGGCGTGTAGAATTATGATATCATTGCTGTAAACCGAGCTCGTAGAATGGTATACGCACTAAAACGCTTCTTTCACTTCTTACTCAGACCTCAATTTTAGGTGGCGGGCTATGCAACATAATTAGTAGGAATCACCGAATGCATGCTCGTAGTGATCTGTCCGAAGCCTTAAACTCTTGAGACTCTTGACTCTTGTATAGCCCTCAACCCTTACACCCCAAGTCCTTAAAACGAAAACCCGCAAGGATGACCGCACAAATCGAGAAGTGCACCAACATTCAAAAAACAAACTGCCTATAGTCTCAGTTGTAGTTATTTTATACTAAGGATCCTAAAAGGTAACCCCCAAAAAAAGCTGCGGCTACAATGGAGACTATAGGTAAACCCTCAGCTCTCAACCCTAGACTTAGACCCTAAGCCTTAAAACCAAAGCCCTTAGCCCTCAGCGCCACACCCTCGGCGCTAAACCTAGAAACCCTTCGCCCCCGACCCTAAACCCCAAAGCCTGAATCTTGAACCTTGAGCCCTACATGGGAGTTTCCGACAATTAAGGGTACCTTATTTTGGGGTCCTTACAATAAGAATCCTACTATTTGGGGTACTATATTAAGGTCCCCTATTTGAGGAAACTCCTTTATGGCATCCCTGATAGCACCCTTATAAATCCCTTATAGCAATCCTTATAGGGTCCCCTATTTTTCGGAACATCGTCATGCAGTAGATCCCTTTAAGGAACCCTATAGATCCCTTCAAGGAGCCTTTTAAGGAGCCCTTTTAAGTACTTACTAAGTCCCATGAACCTCCAAGTGTTTCTGTCATAAAGTTGCAAGCCTCAGGCCGCAGCCTTCGCTTGAAAGTCGAGGCATGGAGTTTGGAGTTTAGTGTTACTATTCAATGGGATCGATAGGGTTTAGGGTTCCTGTAAAGGGGGGGTCTATAAGGGTTACTATAAGGGATCTATAAGGGTACTTTAACGTAGGGTTTAGGGTTCCTTTTAAGCGTACTGTAGGGCTCTATAAAAGGGTTCTCTTTAAGGGTTTAGGGTCTACTGAAAGGTTCATGGGACTAAGTGTTTTTAGGGTGCTGGACTTCGGGCTTTTGGTTTGGGGTTCAGGGCGTCTTAAAGCGTGTGCTTGGGTTTGGGAGCTCCGCCATGTTTTGGGCTACAGAATTTGGTCCTCGAGATTTCCTGGCACAGCCCTGTGTAGCAATCCTCATATAGAACCATGTATTCAAATTACTGAGACCCCTTCATTATCTGGATTGTTTAAGGGTTCTTCTTTGGCCTTGGGATGTCAGAGGGCTCCGCAACTAGGATGCCCAGTAGCACCCTTCTTGAACTGTTCGTAGTCCTAGGTTCCTTTAAAGTTGCCCAACACCAAAAAGCGAGTCCTTTTTATTCCTAGGTTACTGGGCATCCCAAAATCCTATAGATCCCTTATAGGAGCCCTTCAAGGGAACTTCTATAGACCCCTTACACCCTAGGGTTTAGGGTCTCTTAAGAGTCCCCTAAACCCTAAAAGCCAAAAGTGCAGAGGCAAAGATGCATGAGCTGGAAGTCGGGAGGCAGAGATTGCGCGATGCTCAGACTTTGGGCTAAAGGAGTTTATAGGTTTAGGGGTTTGGAGGTTTTAGGGATTAGGGGTTTAGGGGGTTTGGGGGTTTAGGGTTTAGGGTTTGGGTTTTTGAGGGTTTAGGGTTGAGGGGTTTTGGCGTTTTAGGGTTTAGGGGTTCAGGGTTTAGGGGTTTAGGGAGTTGGAAACCTCATAATACCTTCAATCCTTAAGAGTAATGTATAGTGAAGCCCAGCACTATTTGGCCTTAATCTGGTTTCCAACTTTATGGGGTTTACTGTAGGGGTTTAGGGGTTCAGTCAGGGATTCTGCTTCTTATGACCCCTTAGCCCGCTTGCACAGTACTATCTGAAGCGGCTATGTTGGGGATTCCGGTGACTGTATACAGGGGCCCTAAACCCTAAACCCCCTAAGTCGGTCCTAAACCCTAAACCCTAAACCCTAGGGTCTCAGATTGTGGTGTCGCTTCGTGCCAGCACTCCCCCGACTTTCACCTTGATGTTGCAGAGCCAAAAACCCGTGAAATGAGATTACGACCCTAAACCGTATACCTCTGAAAAGATCTACTTATAAAGTCCTAAAGCCTAAAGCCCAAAGAATTGAAAGGACATCATCTAGAACCCCAACTCCTAAACTCCAAATCGTTCCAAGCGTCTGAGAGGGCCTACCTTCGCAAAGAGCCTTTGTGATTCAATGGCTTTATTTCCTAAAGGGTTCGGAGCGGTTGCAAAACAGTTTTGATTCCAGGAGCACTTAGACCCGCAAGCCCTTTCCCTTCTTCGCCGCGGTGGGCAAAGTTGCGATCAGGACCTCACGGAACTAATTAGGGCCACTCGCAACAACTCTTGGGACCCCTGATGTAACTCATATGTTGAATACGTATATCCTCTTTTTTAGGACTCTACACCCTGCAGACTGCGTGCGTGTTCTCGGACCCTAGCTGCAAAATAGGTTATCCAACCGCAAACCCTAACCTACTAATCCCTAGTTCTCCCTAGTGGTCCCTAAGGTCCCCTTAAAGTTCCCTAAGGATCCCTTGTACCCTCCCCCTTGAACCACCGTCCCTTAAGGACCCTATGAGAACATGCTCCCATACCAAGCCTTAGGGTTTAGAGAAATCTCATTTGGGCTCAGGGTTGATAAGTATGGTTTTATTTGAGGTTTAGGGTTTAGGAATAGTCTTATATAGTTCAGGGTTAAAGGGATTTTCCAAGTTTCAATCATCTACAAGAGGAAACCTTAAGGCTCCATGTACCCATGTAGTATATACCTAGGCCTTAAAGTACCTATCTAGGGACCCGTTTTCGGCCTAAGTATCTACTATACAGGTACATGGACCCTTTGGGAAAGGAATCCTTCTTGGTTATGGCAGTCGCACTTAGGAACTAGGATTCCCTGCTTTGCAGAAGCACATGTAACGGAGGGTCTAGCATTTAGCATGGGCGATTTAGGATCTGGAATTCAGGATTTAGGACGTGAGGGTGGGGATCACGGTGATCCGTTTGCAGGAGAATTCTGAGTATAGTGTGGTGAGCATTCCGCCACCACCCCAAAGCGAGACAGCTCTCCTTATCGAGGGTGTGAAGACCTTCATAAACTTGTGAGTGGACATAGGTATCCAAGAGGTTGGTGAGGCTAAACCTATAAACTCCAAAACCGAAGCCATAGCATAAGTCCTGAACAATAAGCCCTAAGCCTAACCTCAACACTGAGTAACCTACCTTGGTAGGGTTCCCGTTCCTTATGTAGGTCCTTAAAAAGATAGGTCCTTCAGGGTTAAGGAAACCCTTAAGCCCCAACCCCTGAACCCTGTTGATGCGTTGCAGTTTTGATTTCAGCCTCAGACTCGATCCACATTTTAACATTATCGATACTAATTAGCAGTTGTTTAGGGTTTAGGGTCTATAGACCTTTAGGGTTGAGGGTCCATCTGGGATTCAAAAACTGGGCTTGCTCTGAAGCAATAAGTTGTTGCACGTCTTCTCCGAGTTCAACAGAAACTGTTACGTGGCTAGGGTTTAGGGTTCTTAGGTCTTAGGGTTTTTAGGGTTTTTAGGGTTTTAGGGTTTAGGCTTTAGGGTTTTTAGGGTTTCGGGTTTTAGAGTTTAGGCTTTAGGGTTTTTAGGGTTTCGGGTTTTGGAAGACATGCACTGTGTCCAGGCATTGAGCCCAGGGGTTGAAGATGAAGCCATGTTCCCGCTGTGACATGTCTATTTTAGTTGATGTCGGATTGCTGAGCGGCAAGGCAGTCACTGTGGAAGTTGGCTTAGATGAGACGGTTGCAACGTTGAAATGTCGAGCACAAACTGCACTTGGAGTCGGAGCCGGACGGCTGCTGGACTCATCTGGAAGCGTGTTGGATGTGTGTGCACCGATCCAGACAACCCGGCTGCAGAATGGTGACTCGCTTACCATACACGTAAACCAAATTCAAGTTCAAGCAGGTGCCGAAGCTTTTGCTGCCATTCTTGGCGACGGATCTGTCGTGGCCTGGGGTAATGCCAACTACGGAGGCAACACCGGCTCCGTGCAGGATCAGCTGAAGAACGTGCAACAGATCCAAGCCACCATCGGCGCTTTTGCCGCCATTCTTGGCGATGGGTCCGTGGTGACTTGGGGTGATGCTGAGCGCGGTGGTGACAGTAGTGCTGTGCAGGAGCAGCTGACGGCCGTACAGCAAATCCAGGCCACCTACCGCGCTTTTGCCGCCATTCTTGGCGACGGATCCGTCGTGACTTGGGGTGGTGCCTGGCACGGTGGTCACAGCAGCGATGAGCAGCATCAGCTGACGGATGTGCAGCAGATCCAAGCCTCTGGCGGTGCATTTGCTGCCATTCGTGGCGATGGATCCGTTGTGACCTGGGGTGATAACTACTCTGGTGGTGACAGCAGTCCTGTGCAGCATCAGCTGAAGAATGTGCAGCAGATCCAAGCCGCTTGCCGCGCTTTCGCTGCTATTCTTGGCGATGGATCCGTCGTGACCTGGGGTTATTATGGTGGCGACAGCAGTGATGTGCAGGGTCATCTCAAGAATGTGAAGCAGATCCAAGCTGCTGAAAGCGCTTTTGCTGCAATTCTTGGCGATGGATCCGTCGTGACCTGGGGGGGTGAGAACTTTGGTGGGGACGTTAGTGCTGTGCAGGAACAGCTGAAGAATGTTCAGCAGATCCAAGCCTCTGGTCACTCTTTTGCTGCCATTCTCGGCGATGGATCTGTCGTGACGTGGGGTCATGCTGACTCTGGTGGTGACAGCAGTCATGTGCAGCATCAGCTGAAGAATGTGCAACAGATCCAAGCCAACGAGTATGCATTTGCTGCCATTCTGGAAGACGGATCCGTCGTGACCTGGGGTGATGCTCGCCACGGCGGTGACAGTAGTGCTGTGCAGGACCAGCTAAGGCATGTGCTGCAGATCCAAGCCTCTGACCACGCTTTTGTTGCCATTCTTGGCGACGGAACCGTTGTGACCTGGGGCGATCCTAACCGTGGTGGTGACTGCAGTGCTGTGCAGGACCAGCTCAAAAAATCTTCAAACCCGATTCCATACAATCCCGCAAGTCCAGAGCTTTGGGGCTGAGGGTTTAGGGAACTGACATCGCAGCGCTGCTGACTTTCAGCAAGAATTGAGTACGTTCCAGGCCAGAGTTATGTTCCTGCTCAGGTTTGCGGTTTGGGACCGTCCCAACTAACCCATAAACTTGTGATCCCTTAGACCGAAAATGTCCAACAACTCTAGTTAAAATGGTTCCAGACACCAAACTCTCTAAACCCCGGCACCCTGGCCCTAAATACCTCTAAATACCAAATCACCCGTGCTCGAAACCCTGATTCCTGAATGCAACATCGCGTACCTGGCGGTTCATGGGACTCATTGACTTAGTAAGTACAGCTGTCAGTGCCTGGACTGGGGTTATCTATTTTGTAAGAATACAGCAGCAGCCAGAAAATTGGAACATGGGTTTAGGAGGATTAGTGCTAGGATCCCTTATACTTTACTTTAGGGGCATGAGGATACTGATGTTCCAACTTTCCGGCTTCTACCATAATAGTTACCTTATTTATAACCGTAGTTGCTAAGACTCCTGAACCTCCAAGTAGATCCTAAACCCTAAATCCTTAAAGGGAACCGTATAAATCCCAAATATGGGTCGGTTTAGGGGTTTAGGGGTCTGTTCTTAGTCTTTAGGGCTTCTTGTAACTATAATTACATTGTAAAGGTATGCTATAGAAGCATAGTCTAACGTTTAAGGCACCCTGCATTACCCTAAACCCTCCTAAACCTCACGTACCCTAAACCCCACACCCCAGACCATGCCCCTTGCAGTCCATTATCCCTAAACCCCAAACCCTAAACCCCAAATAGTCCAAAGAGGGCCGAAGTAGGTACTCGCCGTACACCATGCATTTGTACACTCGGCGCCACAGGGTATGGTACGTACATTGGCCCTGAAGTATGTAGAGTAGCCTTTTCCGGGGCCGTCACTATGTAAGAAATCCTTAAACCGTGCAGGACATCTTGACAACGATGACGAAATCTCCATGGAACCTGGGAAGGGGGCCCTTTAAGAGCCTTGTGGGCCTTCCAAAAAACCTGTAGTTAACCCATGTCAACCCTATAGCACTGTAATTTAATAGGCTCGAATTATGACCTATCTAGCTCCAATCTTAAACCCTATACCCTAACTCTAAACCCTAGATCCAAAACCCAAACACAAAACCCAACCCCTAAACCCTAACCGTAAACGCAAACTCTATAGAGCCGTCAGAGGAACCCTGCAAACAAAATCAGTTTTGGGGCCCGTATTCTCAACCCTTTTGGTAACCCTTATACTAAACCGCTGTAGTAACCCTGAAAACGAGCCCCCTGCAGCTCCTCCACAAGGGTACTATTTGGGCTTCCAGAACTACCAATATTTTTCCCTTGAGGGCTCCTTCTTCTACTAGAACATACCCCAGAATCCTATTCTAAGGCCCCCGAAGAACTATACTAGAACGCACCCCAAAACCCTATTAGAATAGTTCAGGCACCCTATATTACGTGTTTGGTCCGCTGGTAGCCCTTATACTAAACCTCTGTAGCATCCCATAAAGGAGCTTATTCGAATAGTTAAGGCCCCCTTTCTCTAAACCCTAAAACCCTAAACTCTAAACCCTAAAACCCTGAAACCCTGAAACCCTAAACCCCTAAAGCCCTAAACCCCAAAGCCCTAAACCCTATAGATCCCTTTAAAGGAACCCTTATAGATCCCTTTAAAGGGCAGCCCAAAGCCCTACGTTCGGTCCGAGGGCCGACGCGAACCGGCGCTGGCAGAGCAACCGCACGCTGACAGAGCCGACTCTTGTTGACCTGGAGATCCAGGTGGGCTTTTCTTAACGGTTTAGGGTTTAGGGTTTAGGGTTAGGGGTACTTAGAAATAAGTTTTGATTTTTGGTTATTATAATCTCTAAGAAACATAAAAAACTATAAATTTTGCTAGGGTTCTAAGTTCAGTATAGTTTGTAAGGGATCTATAAGGGTTCCTTTGAAGGGATCTAGAAGGGTTCCTTTAAAGGGATCTAGAAGGGTTCCTTTAAAGGGATCTATAGGGTTTAGGGCTTTAGGCTTTTAGGGTTTAGGGCTTAGCGCTTATAGGGGTAGGGTGCCTTAACTATTCGGTGTAGGCCTTCTGATAGTTCACTTTGAAGGCATCTAGGGGTTTCTTTAAAAAAATTAGGGTTTGGGGTGGCTTAAGGATTTAGAGTATAGTGATTTAAATTTAGGGTTTAGGTTTTCAGATTTAAAGTTTGGGGCTTAGGGAGGGCTTCCTTGAAGGGGGCTATAGGGTTTTCCTTTAAGGGCTCTATGGGGTTTCCTTAAAAAGTTCTATAGAACCTATACCCCTAAGACTCCTTGCAGCTGTTTTGCTGCCATCACCGGTGATGGATTCCTCATGACTTGGGGACTCTGAGTGCGGGGTGACAGTGGTGCTAATTTACGAGCTAGTGAAAAACTAGGATGCCCAGTAGTACCCTTATTCCCTTTGTGTAGTCCTAGGTTCCTTATAAAGTTACCCAATACCAAAAAGAGAGGCGTTTTTACTCTTAGGTTACTGGGTATCCTAGAAAGAACGTGTAGGCTGATGAGCTTGCCGGTAGTAGTTCTGAGCAGGCAATGAGTAGCAGTCTGCTGCAACCTACAAGGCCTTCGCAAGCATCTACCAACACATAGTCATAGGGACCCTTACAAAGTAGGGGGAGGGGGTAGGGAGGCCTAGAGCAAGGCAGTTTTTAGGAAGTATAGTCCCCTACCCCCCTCCCCCTACCCCCGTCAGGGTCCCTATGACACAGCCCGACGGGATGGCAAAGCATGTGCTTTGCTGTAGTTGTGGCTTAGCAGCTGAGTGGATACACTTTACACTTTTTGGGATAATACCGTAGAAGCTGCCCCCACCCTGTAATAGTGACTATAAGGATTATATTTGGGCCCTATTATATTCCTATTATACCACAAAAACAGGGTGGGGGCCCCTTCTAAATAATACCAGTCTAGAACTGAAAGTGTATACTTTTGGGGCTTATGAACTCAGCAACTGAGGTGGGCTTAGACCCCTAAACCCAGAGACTCCAATATCCCTTAAATAAGGAATATCTTCTAAACTTATAGTAGGATCCCTAATATGATTTAATATTCCTTAATTAAGTGATGTTGGAGTCTCTGGGAACTCCCAAACCCCTAACCCCTAAAACCCCCAAACCCCAATACTATTTTCGGGGTTCCTTGTAATAATTATAGTATAATGGGCCCCAAAACCCTAACTCCTAAACCCCCTAAACCCCTAAAACCCCTCAACCCAGACCAGGCTTACGACATTCGCCGGGAGCTAGCGGTGAGTGTGCTGCGCTGGGTACGCAAGGATCGAAGCGAAGCCCTCGCCTGGAACTCAGTTTTAAGGGCTCCTTGAACTCCTTGGGTTCCTTAAAGGGATCCTTAAGGGTTCCTTTAAGGGATCTAAAGGGATCTATAGGGCTTAGGGTTACTACCCAGGATTCGATGGGATCCTTCCTTGAGCTCATTGGTTCTTAATACCCAGAGACTCCAACATCCTCTAATTAAGGAATATACCTCAAATTATAGTAGGACCCCTTCTGTGATTTTAGAAATATTCGGTAATTAATAAGGGATATTGGAGTCTCTGGGTAGGGAATGAGGGAATGGATCCGTATAGTAGTCACTGTACAATTCCCAATCATAGTCCATTCCCGCATGCCTGACTAAGCACCAGACAGCAAAGGGAGCTAGAGCTAGGGGTTCTTCAGGAGTCCTTCAAGGGATCTACAAGGGTTCTATGCGGGTTACTTAAAGGGATCTTTCAAGGCTTTAGGGTTGGTGGTTTAGGGCTTCTTATAGATCCCTTTAAAGAGATCTATCAGGGTTCCTTTAAAGGGATCCTTACACCCTTCAGGCTTAATGAGGGTTGGGGGTTCAGAGTTTCGGGGTTTCGGGTTTTGGGCTGAGTGTTCAAAGGATGTTGCAGGTCTACTTAGAGGTTCACGGGACTTAGTAAATGGGGTTATAATTAAGGTAACTACACTTATATGTACTTATACTCCCAATTAGGGTACTTATAACTGTACTTACTAAGTCCCATGAACCTCCAAGTACGGTCTACAGCAGGGGCTAGTAATTATATAGGTGGTTGTCAAAATTAGGGTTCCTTTTTGGGTAACCTAAATGATAGGTGCCGTACTATATCCCAAAAGGGAAAATAATTTTGACAACCACCCATATGTTTTGTTTCGGGCTTGTCCTTTACACCCCAAGCTCCAGAGCCCTCAACTCCGAATGCCTAAGCTCCAAAGCCCTAACATCGATAAGCAAGGAAGGAGCTTAAGTGTTTTCGCCTTAAGGAGAATGGTTTATTTTAGGAACCCCCGAAACTTTCACTAGGATCCTTGCTGCACCGGACTTCTACAAAGGTTACGAACATTGAACGAGTTTCTTTCAAGTCTCTATTAGGGCCCTGTTTGGTCAGGTCCATGTTGGGTTGAAGTGTTTCCCTAAAGGGTCCTAGGTACTATTATGGGGCTACTTCCCCAAATCATATAGTGATGACTATGATAGAAACAGCAAACGATAACCTCGCGTGCTCGTATGGCTTAGTGAACTAGGTTTTGTAGGTTTAGGGCTGGCCGTATTCGAAAGTCCGTGCAAGAGCTAATGGTGAATACCTTCGTTTAGGTAATCGGAGTCTTGGGGGATAGAGGCCGATTTATGTATTCAGGTAAAGAGTGAACACTAAGTGATGAGATCCACCAAATGACCAGTTGGGTTCTCAGTTATGCGCATTGGCGTTGAGAGTTTACTTGGAGGATCTGGGCAGAACGTAAGTATGGTCACAGTTGTAACTACCTTAGTTGTGGGTGTACGTAATTATATATAAGTATGGTTACCTATTATATGCGTGTATTCAATAATTCTAGTCACAAAGTCCCATGATGCTTTAAGTAGTGTTCGGGGGTTGTGGGTTAGGATTGACTCCCAGCCGCAGAGCCGAGCACCCAGTGACATCCCTCTCAAGCCCTGCCTTCAGGGCATTATAGTCTTTTAAGCTTTACCTTCACCCGGAATAGCCTACCTTGTTAAGGACTTGTATAAGGAAATTCATAACAGGGGCCCTAAAAAGGTAGGTTATTCAGGGGGTTAAGGTAGGGTTTCAATTGCCAGGGTCTTTACGTTTTAAGGTTCTAAAGTTTAGGGTCTGTAATACCTGTAAGTTTTCGGGCTTTTAAGGCTTTAGTTAAGGTATGAGGGTTTAGAGTTTAGGGTCATGATGGCTTTAAGGTGGAGGCCCTGGCCTTATGAAGAAAGCAGAACCCCCAAACCCTAAACCCCTAAACCCGTTACCAAAAAAGCTAAACCCCTAAACCCTAAACCCCTAAACCCCTAAACCCTATGACTGCCCAGAACGAATGGCGGACCCAGATGGCCAAGTACCACCAGGACAAGGCAGGCAGGGTGCAGACTCCGGTTTAGGGTTTAGGGTTTAGGGAGACTCAGGCTGAGGGTTGAGGTTGCCGGTGTCGGCGTACTACAAGAGCGATAGCAATTGTAGCATAAATCATTTTTCAGCAATAGAACGATTTTTGGTATTCATAATACTACCACATTGTTTATAGTAGTAACACTAACAATAATAGTCATAATAACAGTAATGTTAACAAGAATAAACTTCAGGGCCTGGTTATCTTCGGTACACGGCTCGGAGATTACAGCGTCTTATGGGGAGTCGGGTTGTGTCGGGTTTTGGGGTTTAGGGTCGCGTTGCATACTCTGAAACCCAAGTGGCTCCTTAGCGAGATCTATACGGTTCCCTGAAGGGATCTATAGGGTTCCTTAAAGGGAGCTATAGGGTTTAGGGTTTAGGGCCTGCTTGGAGGTTCATGGGACTTAGTTAAGTACAGCCATAAGTACCATAAGTGGGATTAGAAGTACATATAAGTGTAGTTACGTTAAATACAACCCTAGTTACTAAGTCCCGTGAACCTCTAAGAAGCCACCAGCAGAATGACCTGAAGCCCGGATCAGCCCTCAGTCACTGAAGCCTTTCTGGTTTAAGGGTTTAGGGTTTAGGGTGTATATACCCTACAGGGCTTAGGGCTTATATGGTTTTTAGGACCCCGAAACCCTAAACCGTAGATGTCTAGGCCTCATGGTGTTTTAGTGGCATTTTGGTGTTTGTGTTTAGGGTTTCGCTTGCTGTCTCCATGTTTCAAAAGATAAAAAGAGGGACACTTAATAAGGACCCCTAGGTTTATACCCTTAACATAGCCATTATATACCCATTATATAGCCCATTATAGGGTAGGGGTCCCCATTAAGGGTCCCTCGTATTCCCCTTTGAATGTTGTGCGGGTCAGATATCAAGGCTTGGCCGTTCAAAAGCCTTCCATGAAGCAATGTACCTGATCTTCTAGTAGGATCCCGAAGATAATTTTGTTTAAGGAACAATATATCATCTCTTAATGAAAAAATTAGGATCCCTAAGATAATTTTGTTTAAGGGATAATATATCATCTCTTAATGAAAAATCTAGTATGAGCTATATCTCTTAATGGAAAAATATACATAGTATGAGCGCCAAGATGGTTTAAGGCATTCCTGTGCAGAAGGGGGTTTTGGAAAGGTCTGTGAAAGCCAGAGCTGGCTTCGGGCTTGGATCCCCAACCTTTAAAGGGATCCTTAGGTTCTATAGGTGTTCTATAGGGTTCCTTTAAAGGGATCGATAAGGGTTCCTTTAAGGGAGCTATACGATAGATCCCCAATACCTAACCTTTAAACTTTTTGGGTTCTAATAGTTTAGTAGGAACCGGAAAGTTTAACCTTTAATTTCCGTGTCTTATGGCGGTAGCAAGTTGAGTCATTCCGGCAAAGCGGACTAGCGTCATGTGGGTAGTTCTCTTTTCAAAATCAGGCTCCCTTGTAGGGCGCCTTAAAGGGATCTATCAGGGTTTCTAGAGGGTTTCGAGCAGGATACCATAAGGTTTTGATAGGACCTAGAAAGGGACTTCAGTTTAGAGAACTACCCATGTCGTCCGTCAAAATCACTGAAGACGAGCTGCAGGCTCGACCGCTAGTCCAGAGACGCATCGCTTGGTCGTAGGAGGCCCATGGCGGTTTTAGCCTATAGGGGTTTAGTAGGGATTCGGGTTCCCATAATAGGGTTCATATTCAGGAATCCCTACCCCAAGAATCTTAAACCCCGCTTTTGGCCTCCCATGAGCAGCGGATGGAGAAGAAGGAAACTGAGCAAGACTCTCTCGATTGCCTGTTCCGATGCCGCGGACATCTATCAAACACTTAGGGTTTTGGGTTATTCTGTGTTGTGGCTAATTAGAATCTAGAAACTGTTTTCTGTTGCGGTTTTAAACATGCTGTTAGGGCTTCATATTTTTCTATTTACTGTTTTTGACTAAGCAAGGTAGTGTAGAGTGTAGCCCAAACCTTACACCACAACACCTAAGCCCAAAACGCCCTGAACCCGTAAACCCTAAACACCGCTTGTTTCTGAAATTGTTTTGGCCAGACGCGTATGGCCGGGAATTTCGCGGAAGCGGTGCGACATTGGCGTGAGGATGCCAACTTCGCTTTGCCGCTTGGAAGATGGGGTTCGGATTTCAATTGGATCCAGGGGTATGTTGAAGGTAGGCGGGGTAATCCCAAAATGAAGGTCCTTAGATAGGGCTAAACCCTGAACCCCTAAAATCCTAAACTCCTTAATCCTGCCTACCCTCATCCCACCGTTTGAGGCCTCTAGGGTTAAGCGCATAAGCATCTTTTATAGGGATATCCCTACCTTGTTGGGCTTCATTATAAGGGGGTTCATAGGGGACATCCCTAACCTTATTGAAAAACTCATACGCCTGCTGAGAGCAAAGCCATGACCAGTCATAGTTTAAGCATCAAGGCTGCGCATAACAGAACTGGAGGTGTAAGCGTGACGACAGCACCCCAAACAAATCCTAAGGCAACGGTGCTGGCAGAATAGATCACATAATGACAACAGCATGACTATAATTTGGAAACACAGTCCCTGTTAAGACAGCTATTGTGTGATGCCTTTTTCTGTGCTTACAAAACAATAAGGCTAGCAAGCAACTGCAAGCCAACACAACAACAAGCAGCTACACAGAGGCCGGCTCCGATGACACAGTGGCAGCAACAAGCCAACACTTACCCGGGGAACCCGCTCCCCCAAGCACCGTGGACGCCTCCTTATGCCAGCACCATGGGAGCAGCCCACGGACATCAACCACTTGCACCGACATCGTTCTCATGGCAGGCCACCCACGCAGCCCCCGATGGCGGCTATATCCAGAGTTTCGGGGGATATGCCCTCGCAGCTGGGGCCACGGTGCAGGTCGACCGGTATGGCAACCCACAGGTGTACATGCCGCAGCCGCAGCATCAACTACAGTACAACCAGCAGCCAACCGCAGCTGAACCACAAGCACTCCCACAACCCTGAACCCTATAAACCCATAAGACCTAAACTTTATAAATCCTAATCCATAAAACCCTAAACCTTGCACAAAAAGATCCCTTTGAAGGAACCCTTCAAGGATCCCTTTAAAAGGGAACCCTATAAAGCCCTACTAAACCTTCAAACCCCAAAGCTGTCTTCTAAGGCCACCCTAAACCCTATCAGCCCTAAGCCCTAAACCCTAAACCCTATAAGTCCTAAACCCTAAACCCTCTAAGCACTAGACCCTACACCCTATAGATCCCTTTAAAGGAACCAACCCTTAAAGTATCCCGTTAAAAGGGAACCCTATAGAGCCCTAGTAAACCTTCAAACCCCAAAGCTGTCTTCTGAGGCCACCCTAAGCCCTATCAGCCCTAAGCCCTAAACCCTCTAAGCCATAAACCCTAAACCCTCTAAGCCCTAAACCCTATCAGTCCTAAACCCTAAACCCTCTAAGCCCTAGACCCTACACCCTATAGATCCCTTTAAAGGAACCCTTAAAGGATCCCTTTAAAAGGGAACCCTATAGAGCCCTAGTAAACCTTCAAACCCCAAAGCTGTCTTCTGAGGCCACCCTAAACCCTATCAGCCCTAAACCCTAAACCCTCTAAGCCATAAACCCTAAACCCTCTAAGCCCTAAACCCTATCAGTCCTAAACCCTAAACCCTCCAAGCCCTAAGCCCTACCCCTCTATAGATCCCTCTAAAGGAGCCCTTAAAGGATCCCTTTAAAAGGGAACCCTACCCCGTTTAAAAAAAACAAAAAACCAAAGCTCTTTTTTCCGAGGCCAGGCAGCTCAGGCCTGGACAGAAACGGTTGTTTTTTGGGGGGCTTAGGGTTCCTTTAAAGGGATCTATGAGGGTTGCTTTAAGGGTTCCTAAAGAGGGATTCATAGGGTTTAGGGTGTAGTTTCTTAGAGTTTATAGGTTTTTTTTTGGGCAGGGGGGGGTGCCTTCTGAAGAAAGAGGGGTTTTCAGGAGTTCTTGAAGGTCCACGGGATTTCGTAATTGGGGTTGGAAATAGGGTAACCATACTTATAACTACTTATATCCCCAATTAGAGTAGGGATTTTTAGGGTTTTAGTAGGGCTCTATAGGGTTCCCTTTCAAAGGGATCCTTTAAGGGTTCCTTTAAAGGGTTCTATAGGGTGGCAGGGTTTAGGTTTTTTAGGGGTTCCCTTTCAAGGGATCTATAAGGATTCCTTTAAAGGGGCCTAGGGGGTTCAGGGTTTAGTGTTTTTTGGTGGGTCCGTGGCGTGCTTGGGGTTGCTTGTCGGGCTAAAGGGATCTATGCGTGTTCCGTCAAGGGTTCCTAAAAGGGATCTATAGGGTTTATGTTTTTTGTTTTAGTGTTTATCGGGTTTAAGATTTAAGGGTTAGGGTTTTAGGGTTTAGGGTTTGGGGTTGCTTATAGGGTTTAGGGTCAAGGCAAAGGGTCATGAGTCACGAAGTTAGTGTTAATGTAGGGGCCTTAATAATTAGAATGGGGTTGGGGGCCCACTATACAGCTGTACTGATAACGAGGAACCTCCAGCATGGTATAGGTAGCCAGTTAAGCCCCTATATTAGGACTTTTTGTGTAAATTGCTGGCGCGGTTGATGCTAGTTGAGATGGTTGAGTCTGCGTGGCCCACGTGGCTTTTTTCGGAGCGGGAGGGACATCAACCTAATATCACTTCTTTCAGCTTTCCTACATGTAAACTTGCCCTCAACCCTAAACCCTAAACCCAACCAGACGTTGAGGACGAGCTTGTCGCTTGATAGTTCTTCATCCAATAATCACGCTATCTTGTTCACGCCGAACGGATTGGTCTATGTCGAGGTTCCTGTCCTTGCCGACGCTGCTACATTTCGCAGGATCGTCGCGTCACAGGCATCTCGCTATGTGGCCGGAGGCATTATGCGTAATTGGCATCCCTTGCCCTCCCTCCCTCTGGTGCAATTTCTCGAGGTGCATTGCTAAGGCGCAGAGGTTCCATGCATCCTTGATTTTCGCCCCGTGGGGTGGCCCCGAAACCCTAAACCCACTTAGACCCTAAACCCTAAACTACTAAGCCCAGGCGTCTCGGCTCCGTTCGTTTAGGCGAGCGTAGCCGGAGTACCCCAAGTGTGGCCGCGAACGACCGCGTGCCCACGCCGAGGAGCTCTGCAGGTGACAGAGCACTACCTTCTCCTGACCCTGGTGACTTGCTGCAGTTCGATCTGCCAACGATCCGGAGTCAGTGACTCCCTGCCCACTGTACGCTTTGCGAGGTGGCAGGGCTTCTTTCCCCACTTTGGTGGCTGGAATTCTTTGGTTTTTCTGAGGGCGTCACTGTGGCCCTTACTGACAACCAACAGGACATCGGTACATGGGACGTGCCCTTGTTCTGTTGTTGCTTTTTCTGATTGAGAAGGCCAGTTTTGATTACGGAGTCTGCGGGACATCGGAGGAGTCGCAGAAAGCGCACGTGCGCGCGCTTTGCACTGAAGGTGTGGCTCAAGGGCCATCTTGCAGTGCAGCCCGCTCGTCTGGAAAAGGCGTGCGAGATTTTGGAGGCCCATCACAGCAGAAGTGCATTGCCGTCGTTGGTGAGAAGCCGATTAGCGGGCAAAATGACGCAGAGGGGCCAGGGATGGTGGTGCACACCGTGCGCCAGAATGGTGAAGCGCGATGCGAACTTCTGCCCACAATGTGGTGTGGGCTGGAAGGATGCGCAAAAGCCGGCGCCGAGCTACTCGACCTCCAGCGTCCAACCACCATGGCATGGCCCGTGGTGGCAGGACCAACCGAAGTCACCCCGAAGACCCAGGTCGCCGCGATCCAGAGGGAAGGGCGACAAAGGCCGGGGCAAGCAGGATGGCAAGCAGCCCAAGGGCAAACCGGGGGGCAAGGCAGTGCCTTGGCCGAGCGATGCCCCGCCTACAGCACCGAGTGTGGAGGATCTCCCTGTGGCTCCGGTGACACCTACGATCGTGCCACCACGGAAGCCGACTCCAGATGCTACAGCTTCCAACGATCGCTTGCAACTGGAAGCCCTTGCCAAGATCCTCTCGACCTCGGGGATAAACCTCCCCGATGCAGCCCAACAGCTTGTGGTGGGAATCCAACAGAGTTCCTCCCAGTCGTCGGCACGAGCGCTACACAAAGCGGTGGCCGACCAGACCAGGGCGAAACAGTCCCTGGCGAAAGTGCGACAGGCGCGCCTGGGTTACACCCAGGCCTGGGCCACCTACCTCGGACAACTCACACAAGTGGTGGAAACGCAAGTCCGAGAGCAAGAGCGTATCCTGGACGAACTGGACGATGCCGAAGCCCAATGGTCTGGCGCGGAGCGCGAGGCTACACAGCTCTTGGCAAAGATGACGTCCAGTGGCGACGGGAAGCCGGAGGATCGTGTGACGGAGGTCGACGACGAGGACAAGGACATGGATGCAGCAGAGGCGGCGGTGGATGCTGCTATCGATATGGAGGCCAAGATGCGTGCGGAAACAGAGGCGCGCCGTCAGGCCTCGCAAAATGTCGTGGCCGTTCTGGGACAGCTCAGGCAGAGCGCTCAAGAACAGGCCGGCACTCACGAGCGAGAGGGCTCACGGACCCCTCGCCGTGGCTCGGGGACAGAGCCAAAGGACGAGACCAAGGAGGTGACAGAGATCAAGGAGCCACAGCAGGAGCAGAGCCTCCCACCCGGCAAGGCAAAAACGCCTTTCCAGCTTGGCTTAAACTTGCCTCAGCAGTCTTTTGGTGGGGCCCGTACCTAGGCCGACAGGCTATGTGCGGGCCGACTCAGCTCTTCGGAGCGGTCCTTTCACATAGCATTGCAGGGGAATGGCACTATGTTGGACCTTACATGAGTCAGGTTTTGGGCGCGATGCAGCAACTGGTGTGCAGCCTTGATCGACTGCCGCTTGACATCCAACATACTGTGTGGGAGGATCCGCGGATCGCTGATGTGGTCTATCCAGCGCCGCCGCAGTATGATGCAATGACCTTAGAGACAGTGACTCTCTGCCAACGGCTTCGGCAGGATCCTGGAAGTGTATTCGGGCTGTCGATCCCCGCAGCACCCTCTACGGCGACGGGCACAGAGCGGTGCGACCGACTACCTCAGAGACCCCCCATGCACATGTACAAGCTGGGTGTTGGATCTGGGGTCTGTGGGTCGACTTCCTCTGACGCCGTTGCTGAAGCTGGTGCCACGGCGGTTGACAGCCTGACAGTGAGTCGCATGGATCGACGACACCAGAATGCAATGTACAAAGATGTAAATAGTACTGAGGTAGGCTGTGGGCTGGGGCCCGAGCACCGGAGGTTTCCGCAACGGACCGTTTCCTTCGCTGAAACTCCTGACATACGCCTCTTTTTTCCGGGCAGTAGACTGCAGGCAAGGCAAGCGCACTGTGAGGCTGGTCACTCATACATCCTTGATGCCCAGTCGCAGCTCGTGCAGCCTCGTGTGGTTAGCACAGCACGTCCCTCCTTGCCCAGAGGTGTGCCTCCTGCTGAGAGCACCCCGGCCAGAAGCACTGTCACCGGTTACAGTGCAGTCCGGATGGGCATGGCTGCAAGGGTTGGGGTGTCCCCTGACTTTCTTGACCGCCCTGAACTCCGCAACCTTCCTCTGACCCAGTTCTCTTGGTTCTGCGGCCACAGAGCAAGCGGAGCCGATACTGACGGTTCTCAGCGAAACCGTTACGCTGCCTTCTCTACGGCTCATCACCTCACTCTGCGAAGGCTTCCTTTAGGCAGCACCCTCAACGATGTGATAGCCGATTTAATTGGGGAGCATCCACGGTTGCGGGCTATCAGAGTGATGCAACATCGCCTTGAGGCTCTCCCTTCTCTCCAAGTTGTTGCTCTTACGCGAACTGATGAGCCTCACTTGCATGTCCTTCCTTTTGACCTCAGGGGAGTTCAGGGCAGGGTTTGCACACTGGGAGTGCCACGGCAGCTGGCTCATGACCCCCTGGCAGCTTTCTGCCTTCAATCTTGTCCCCAGGATCGTCTTCCCAGAGAGCCCTTCCAGCTCTTTGATCCAGCTGACCTGCCTGCGAACCCGGCAGCCGAGCTCGAACAGCCTGACTTCTACAGAGGTCGACCCTACCAGCTACCTGTTGAGCCTGCTCCTGGTGACGACCTTCACGAAGCAGAGACTGATGGCAGTGGCTTACTCCAAATAGACTCATGGGCTACCCTGACTGGCCCAGCTGCCAAGAACTTTGATGAGGATGAGATTGGGGATGCCCCCTTGGGACGGCAGGACACTGCCCCCCTCGCTTGTCCAGGAGAACCGCCTCAGGTCCAGGTGCCACAGGTTTACGTTGCTGATCCCACGGATCTTCAGCTCATTCGCGCGGAAGACCTGCACATTCTTCCCCCTGAGTTTCGTGATGAAGAGGCTTTCACTAGCCCAATCAGCCGTTTCAAATGGGGCAGAGCACATAGAGACTTGTTCGGGTTGTTTACCGTGTTTGACACGCGCCGACATGCTGTAATCATACAAGGTGTTGCCAATTCTAATCTTCACACCTTGGTCGCGCAAGCCGTGGCTAACGCGCCCTTTCAGGTTTCGGCAGTACATGTGCTTACGTGTCCTCTGTCTGGCCTTCCCAAACCTCAGCTGGTCCTTCATGAAGCAGGACGACCACTGCCGTTCATGCCGGTCCCGTGGGACCTCAGACAAACGGATGGACTGATCAGGACAGTTGAGCACAGGCAGGGACAAGGCATACTTGAGGCATTACAAGCTGTGTACGACACCATCGGAGGGCTACCCACTCTCATGCAGCGTTTCGAGGATCGCTCTGTTGCGGTTCACGATGCCCTTGGTGCTGTCCTTCACAAGTTGCCCGACAACCTCCTCAAGGCTCAATTCTTTGAGACCATTGCCATGCCGAGAGGGAGTTTTGCCTCACAGCGAATTCAGGCGCCCATCTTAACAGGTGGTTCGCTACAGCAGGAAGGCACGACCCGAACCGCCACATGGATGCAAGCTGTCTCGGTGGCTCCTGCACTCCCTATTCTGCGCCTGATCATCTTTAGAGGAAGTATTGCTGCCAGTGCCGATCTTAATCCGCCTTTTCATACAATTGATCATGTCCTGGCACAGCTCTTGACACAGATTAGCGCGATGCTTCCCCTTGCAGACCATAGTGCTCTGGTGCTTGCTGCTGCCCAACCCCCGCCATTGGGCTATGTGCAGGAAGTTGTTTTCTTGATTTCGGACTCACGTACTTCCGTGCCCTGTCTCTGGGATGCGCGCCCCGTTGGCGGGGGTCTTCAATTGCTGAGCCAGGACCTGTCGGCACCCACGGCCTCCGTTCTTGCTCCGTCCTGGAGGAGCGAAGGTTGGTCAGTTGCTGTCAACGGGGTACCCGTTCAACACATGAGCAGAGATGTGGTCTTTGGTGATTTCTTCCAGCCCTATCACGGCGAATCGCCATATCCGACAACACCGCTTGGTTTTATCCTACGGGCCTGCCCGGCGCTAGAAGCCTTTGCCATTCCTCTCTGGATACGCAAGGGGGGCTTGCCTATGACCACGTACGACACCCTTTTTCCCAGGCTGACCGAGGTACTCAGGCGTCGGAGGGATGACATGGGTCATTTTCACCTTGAGGGCGGCCTTGCGGTCATACACGGACCAACCCATGGCACTGTTCATCTGCATTTCGCCGGCCCTACTTCGCCTGGGGTACATGAGGTAGCTGATCAGATGGTTCGTTTGGACTGGCAGCCCGGCTGGGAGGCTGTCGTGCGCACTGCCGCTTTATGGCCAGAGACGGCCCTTTTTGTCACCTCAGCACCGGGGGTGGTGGGCAATACTGTTCTGCTCCCTGCTCCACATCATCCGGAGCAGCATTTTGTCCTACTTGTGCCCCAGCGCCCAGGCCTTCTCTCCGGTCTTCCAGGTGAATCGGTGGCACAGCTCATGCCCCGCCGCAGCATGGGTTCTGGGGATGTTCTCTACTTTCAACGGGACCCAGGCCGTGCCATGGAGCCTGACTCGGAACAGGAGGGCGAGGCGGCCGCTCTGCTTCAGCTCTCTGCTTCGCGTGCTCATGTTGTGGAAGGGTGCAACTCCCTGGCTCAGGGTCCTTCCACACGTGACAAGAGCAAGCCTATTGCAATCCCCACACCGGGGGGTCGCCGTTTCATTAAGCCAGTTGTTGACTCTCAACCAGGCCCTACTGCCGGCGGCCCCAAGCAGCTCGTTCTCCAGGAGGTTCTCCCTCCGGAGGCTCCGAGCATTGCATGGTCGGTCTGTTCAGACATTGCGCAGGAGTGCCTGCGTCAACATCAGCTCTCCAATCTCCGCCACGACCTTGACTACCTCTCTTCAGAGTATCGTCCTTTCACCGCAGCCTGGGCACTCCTCCCACCTTGGGACAGACGGCAGGTCTGCGAGGAGCTTCTCATTTATACTGATGGCTCTTTCTTCCCAGGCAACCCCCGGGCCACTTGGTCGGTGATAGTGCTTGGTAGAATAGGAGCTTGCTTTGTGCGAGTTGGCTTTTTCGCTGACTGGGTCGAGATTGCAAGTTCAGAGGTGCCCTCTGCTTATGATGGGGAGATAGAGGCCCTCTTACATGCCATGGCCTTGACAGGCAACTCTGACACAACCCAAGTTCACATCCTATGTGACTGTGCCTCTGCCTTACTGGTTGCGGAGGGAACCGGGGGCATTGACCTCGAGAACCCGGCCTGTCGAGCCCTCGCTGGTTTGGCCTTTTTTGCCCGAGCTAAGGGAAAACGGGTTACCCTGACCAAAGTTCCTGCACATAGTGGGGATGCTTTTAATGACATGGCGGATCTTGTTGCAAAGCAGGTAGGACGTGGAAAGGGCGCATCCCCTTGGAGGGTCCCCTTTGATGACTTTCGAGCTGCGGCTGCGGAAAGAGTCCTGGAACGCCTTTGGCTGACCTGCGCGGACTGCACCATGCGCATGGGCCTGCCCCTGCTCACACAAACCGGCACGTGGGCAGCTACTGCCGGGGCTCCGGCCACCACCAAGCCCCCTGCTGTTCTTGTTGGTTTAGGAACGGAGGAACTCGGCACTGCCCCTAGACGCCTTAAACTTCGGGTGCTCCAGTACAATGTCCTGTCCCTCCGGGGTGATGCCGCCAAAACCATGCTATCGGCTGGCGCCAAAAAGGGTCATTTCGATGTTGCCTGCTTCCAGGAGACTCGCGTGCAACAAAGCGGCTTCAGCACTGTTGAGGGATGGTGGGTCCTCAGCGCCAGTAGTACTAGTGCAGGGGTAGGGGGTGTGCAGATTTGGATCAACCCTCACCAGAGTGACCTGGCCTGGGACCGCAAAGAGCTTTCGATTCTGCATGCATCGGAGCAGTGCTTGATTGTGCTGGGACAGGCCAATGGAATTGATCTTGCAGTTGTGGCTGGGCATGCCCCCCCTTCGACCAGCCCCCCCGAGGTCTTACAGACCTGGTGGAGTAATCTTGCGGCTGCGGTCGGCCGCATTCCTCGCAAGTACTGCCTGATAACCGGTCTCGATGCAAATGCCCGCTTCGAGCTTGACCACCAGTGTCCTCAGACGCTTACCTCGGCCCCTCTCTGTGAGAATGCCAGACACCTGCTTGATTTTGTCTGCACTACAGGTGGGGATCTTACTTCCCAGTGTGACTGCAATGGAGCTCCACTTGTGTCATGGGTCAGCCCGAATGGTCAACCAGCTTTGCTTGACTACATTACTTTCCCTCGTGAGTGGAGCGGGGCTGCTGTGACCCTGCCGACTCCTGACTTGGGCGACTTACACAGTGGTCATGACCACTGGCCTGTTGCCCTTGAGCTCGATGTCACATGTGAAGGCAGGAGTCGACAGCCGATCCACCGCATTAGCCCAGAGCAGATCCGCTCCGCCGCTGGCGTGACAATGGTCCAGCATGCTTTGGCCACCATCCCGCACATCCCATGGACGGTCGACAGCACAACGCATGTTGATATCATTCACCGGCATATCCATGCCTGTCTGTCATCTCTGCCACAAGCCGAGCGCAAAGCACGCAATCCAGCCCTTACGCAGGACACCATAGACCTTGTTGTCTACAAGCGTCATGTGCAGCGCTGCCTCAAGACCGCGCGTCAGCGTAGCAGGCGTGCCTTGCTTTGGATTCTCTTCAAAGCCTGGCGCGGGCGTCCGCTTGACTACCAGCACAGCCGCCAGGTTATTGCGCAAGCCCAGGAATGTGAGCAGCGATGGTTTTCGCGTTTCAAGGCCGCCAAACAACACCTTAGCCAGGCTATGCTCAAGGATAAGGCGGAGTTCGCGCGCCGTGCCTTCCACCAGGCGCGTGAGGCTGGGCCCCGGGAATTCCAGTTTAAGCTCCGAGCTGTCCTTCGTTGTGGGCGCCGTTTCAGGGTGCCGCCTCTCGTACCGGTAATCCACACTGCCACGGACACCGCTGTTGGCCGAACTGCTGTTCTAGCTGCTTTTGCCTGCCATTTTTCAATATGCTCGTTTGTAGGGTTGGATCCGCGGGGGCTGGATCAGTGGGCTTGGCAAAAACCAAAGTTATCAAAATCAGAAGTCAACCTGAACAAAGACTTATTGGATACGTTACGACACGGTAGGTTTGTCCAGAATTAATGTAACTGGAGATTTGCAGACACTGAAAATTGTTGAGAAAACCATGAAAAAATGTAGTATTATTTCTGTCCAAGCCGGTGTGTGAACAGAGCAACCGGAAGCTGTGCCATTCCAGTGACTCCTTGCACCGACATTGGCACGTCGGGCAAGGTCACACTAGATGGCTGGCCTTTGTGTCCCCAAGCAAGGAAACTTGATGGCTCTTCGGGTGAGAGCCCGGCAACACCAACAGGTTTTCGCAAGGCTGAGGACGTCTGTGCAAGAGCCGGCAGAAGCTGCAAAGGTGTGACTCCCAAATTGTCAACAAGAAATTGTTCCTCAAGTGTGTTCACTTGTGCCATGCCACTGACCCCTTGCACCGACATGGGCACATCGGGCAAGGTCACAGTGGATGGCATCTATTGTTTCCTCACACTGCTCAGAACAACCTGTCAACTTAAACAGGTTGCTGCAAGGTTGAGGAAATCTTGAGTCAGCATGGCATTGCTTGGCAAGGTTGACGATTCGAATTGAGGAAATCTTGAGGAATCCTCCTCAAGTGGGGCAAAGAAGGCAAGAACGACGTCCAAGGCCCTGATTTGCCGGCGCATACTCATTCACTGAAAGAGCCATATCAATTCTGTTCCTCCAAGTGTGTTCACTGAGACAGCCACATCGACATAAGGCTGCAAGCAAATCAGACTTGTGTCTCAATTGTTATGCAACCTTCTCATCAGTCATCGCACTGTTTTACCTGTGTTGCTGCATGGCCTGCTGTTGCTGTTGTGTCACAGCATTCACACCCCAAAAACCAGTCACAGCAGATTGGCTTGAATAATAAAAAGCATGCAGCTCAGTAAGCTATGAAACGTATTTTGGCTGACGAAGCGGATCGTCACAATAGATTCCGGACAATCTGCGCAACTGCTTCCCCGAACATCGAAGTGTATTCCCCACTAGCCTGTACATCTGCTGGCACACCGGTGAAACGGCCGTCTTCGCCTCGGTTTACCAGACCAATGAAAGCATTATGATCTGGTTTGGGCCTGGCCAGGTTCTCAAAATGAAACCCAGGCAAATGCCACAGTTGCAAGGGCTTCACTGACTTTCCGTTAAAGGCACCCATGTAGGTGCAAGTCTTTTCGAAGCCACAAAAGGATAGAACTGTTTTGACACACTCGAGGTGCGGCATACAGGAGCTGAGGGGCTGTTCCACCACAGGGCAGCACTCACATGCCCATCCCAGGAAAATCCCAAGTGAGCAAACAAGGGCCTGACAATTTCCCTGCAATACAAAGTCCCGCTCAGTCCATGCGCCTTCCCAGCCGTTGCTTTCAGCACGTTGGGAACGAAATGAGCACATAATGACAAAAGAAGAGCACGGAGTGCCCCACCAATGCAAAGCCTTCTTCTCACACGCTGTGGCTGCATCCAGAAACAAACGCAACCCTTTCGCTAGCAACATGTTGTGTTCGTCATTGTAGAGTATGTCAAAGCTGCACCCACGGAGACCGGATTCGATCAATTTCTTCGAAAGTTTGGCGCTCCCTGCATAGTATTCAATGTATTGCAGCAACCCCGCACATTGATGGGGTCCCACATCGATTGAAGCTGCTTCAATCTTGGCTCTGTTGTCATAGCTACGGCTAATGATGCACATCAGCTGACACTCGATGGTTCGGTTCTTCAATGCGGGATAAGCCAATCCAATCAGCCCATGCCATTTCATGGCCACTCTGCCCACATTGAAGTCCTGGTCGTAGCGCAAGAAATTTTGCACCAAAATCCTTGCAACCATGAGCCTGTGACACCAAGGCTCTGTGGACCTGGCCAGCAAGATCAATTGAGGATGATGATAAGTTTATGTAGTATTACATTAATTAATGAAAAATTCAAATTATAACAAAATCTGTGACCCATAACACTTTGAACAGACTCCGGCCTTGGGGAGAAAGACAAGGAAGCAAACGGAAGGAAATGCGAACATTGCAATCGCGATGTTTGCTCGAAGACGTCCTCTACCCAAGTGTCAAACCGATCATCAATTTCATCAGTTCCTGTAACTGTATCGGTAAAATTCAAGGCAGGAAGAGTACACGGGCGCTCCACTGATCTACCTCCCAACTCAAATGACTCTGCAGCATTCTTTTTCCTTTTGCATTTCTTGCGTGCTGGCTTCACAGGCCCAGCACTACCACTGAAGACCAGCGATGATCCCAGCACATGCTGGCACGGCCACTGGAAATTGGACATGTTGGTGATTCACTGACATCAATACATTGATTTGTTGTCCCACATAACTTTAAACCATACCTCTGGTCCAACTTGAGCAACAAATGGATTCAATGCTTGCCTGGCATATCAAGCACATTCCACAAACTAACAGGACACAATGTCAGGAAGGCTTGTTTTTGCTGATCGCTTTCTCCCCGAGCAATCTGCAGCATAACTATGGTGAGACTTCATGATTCATGTCATGTCATCTTCAATTGCACACTTCAGGCATTCAGCAACTGTAATTGCAACGTAACTGTAAAGACTCAATCACAGAATGAACAGCAACTGCGCACAAGCTGAAGCCAAAATTGTGAATCGAACATGTTGCCGCTATGACAGCAGGAGCAGATTCACACACATTGGACTCGGCTGGATGAACTCACTCCCTGTGACTTCTTGAATCGACCGAAGACTTGAAGCTAAGAACACGATACTTGCATACATGACATTGACAGCAATCTGCTACCTGCTGACATGTTTTCCCCTGTGATGTATTTATCACAAAAAAACTGAAGAGGCTACTTGGCATACTTTGTAGGCGAAGGCATTGCGTCGATAATCGGGGCAAGGCGTTCCAGGACAGCCTCAGGGATAGTACCAGGCTGACAATGAGGCGGCAGTTGCCTTTCGGGTTTGGCCTTCTCCCACTCTGTCCATGCCCAGCGATGCACTTGAGCCAGTGCTTGCTTCCAGTCTGATCTGTCGTTAGCAAAGCTTTTGCTGCAAGACTTTTTCCCCTCACTTGACACATACTGTTTTGTCATGATCTCGGCTTTGAAGCGATGATCGTTGAAGCTGAGACGCAACTTGAAGTCTTCGGGTGGATCCAACTCCGACAGGAAGTCGGGAGTGTTATTCAAGTGTGGACCATGCTCGCGCGGAGCACGTTGCGATGCCTGGCCACGATGTGCAGCATCATCAAGGACCTGCTCAGGGGCTGATCCGCTCGAGGACGAGGCCTGTGCCATTCCACTGTCCCTTGGCCCGGATATTGGATCCGGCAAGGTCCCATTGGATGGCTGTGCTTGCACTTTTGTTTCCTCGTGTGCGACCCCGGCACCACCAAGCACAGAGTGTGGACGGGAAGCATCGACACAGGGCTCCTCCGCCGGGGGGGCGGGCTCTCCTTCACCAGTGTGTGGACTGGGAGGATGGGCGCAAGGCTCCGGTGAGGGGGCGGGCTCTCTTGGACTGGGAGCATGGACACAAGGCTCTGCCGGCAATGAATCAGGAGTTGTTCGATCGTCCATGACATTCATGTCCAACAGCTGGCTTTCCAACTCCTCTTTGAGTTCAGAGATATCTGGATCTTCTTCCACTGCTGGTCCGGGCATTTGTTCGAGCACCTGCTCCTTGCGTTTTCGTGACGCTGCTTGCCTGCGAGCCAGCCCTTGCAAGCCCAAAGCTGTGCCTCTTCCAAACCCATTGCCTTTTCCACGGCCTTTGCCTTTTCCTTTGCCCTTGCCTTTGCATTTTGCTTTGGCACACGGTTTTGACTTTGCTTTGGCTTTTGCCACAGCTCTCCTCGCTCTTTTGGCCTGCAATCGAATCACAATTGAGTCACAATTGAGTCACATTTGAATCACAACAATTGAGTCTAAGCCTAGCTCAGAAACTCACTGGAAGGTCTTGCCAGGGTGCCTTTTGTTCTGCAACCTTCTCATCCCACATGTTTTGCCAACGTTGTTGCTCGGCCTGCTGTTCCTGTCGCATCAGGGCTTTCTCCAAGTCCTGGAAATCCTGTTTATCTGAGGGCTCCATGTTGTCCAACAATGCTGATAGAAAACCATCAGGCATATCTGCATCAGGAGCCTTCTGAGTGTCTGACTCTGCAGCTTCACGGCAAGCTTCTGCAAACTCTTCTCCGAAACACTCCTGACACTGTTTCAACAACTCCTTCTTGGAATTCTTGTGGGGTTGTGTCACATTCAAGTAGTCCGCCATCAATGTCAACTCCGCAAAGGTCCTTTTGTGCCCGGAGCGCAAAGTGTTTTGCACAAGTGGTTCCCAACCACACGTGGCTTTGAAATAGAGTCCTGCCTGTGTTGACAATTTCGGAGTGGCTTCACATGCTTCCCATTCCTCAGGGTTGTGAAGGAACTGCCATGAGCAACCGGCCTCCACTTGCAACTGCCAGCCCGAGCACCTGCCGCCCTCATGAACTTCGGACAACCGCCATGCCAACACTGCCCATTTGAAGGATCCCAGAACAATGTAGGTCTCTTCCACATTGCGCAAAGTAATGATTTGCCCAAACTGGGCAAACACAGCCCACAAGCCGTCCTCAGGAACATGTTGTTCTTAGAACAGAGCTATTCAATCACAGACCGCTACTTTGCTGATTCACCCCAGGCCTTCAATTTCACGTTCTGCGTGCTCAAGTTGTTCTGCGAATAGTAGCGCAGGAAGGACCATGATGCTGCAGAAACAATCAATTGTTGTTCAGAAATGGTGTCCCACGTTTTGGTTGCTAGGACTTTCGACATTTCCTTGGGGAGCTTGTGATGTGCGGCAACAAATTCTGGATTGGCTCTGAAA